GGTAAGACTTACTAAGACTGCACCATGATGATAAGAGTATCTTATTAGTCGAAACAAATTTATAAATTTTTTTCATTTATTCAAGTTATTCAGGTAAGTCGAAGAGCGAAATCATAAGTAGAAAAAAATATTATATTAAAAATATTATCAACGAAATATTATATTCAGAAATCCTTTAAAGTACCACCATTTATGAATGAATTTTAGATGATGGAAAACTATTAGATGAAATTAATGAGCAGCGAATCTCACCTAAAATGATTTTTACTAACATTGAAACGAAGGGACAATCGATTGGAGTCGAAAAATGTTTTGAAGAAAGCATTAGAATTAGGCATGATGTTATCGATTCAGTGCTTCAGCAACACTCCTCAAATAGATCGACATCGGCTCATTTAATAGTTGAGGAAGAAGAAAATATTTTCATTACCCCTAGCAGCACCATCACTCCTACCAGTACCACCACCATCATCACCAACAATATTCCCTCAGATTATCGATTATGTCCATCAATTCATAAATTTGATGATTCTCATGAAAAATCGTCAGTTCTCAGCTCTTATCCTCAACACATTCCACTTAATCTATCTGACGCCTCTTTCGTCGATTCAAATTCTGCTAAGGACGAAGAAATCGCTAATAATCAACAGCTGATCTTTACTGATAATTTTCTCGTTGATAAACCTTTATTACCAGTGTTTAATCGAGACACGAAAAGTATGTTCGGTTCATTAACCCGTCTGGCTGGTGATGCAATCAAAGGTGCGAAACAAGCTAAAGAACAAATCACTCAACATGCCTCCTCGTCTAGCGATACTCATCTTCTTTCAAAGGTAAATTAAAAGATTTTTCATTAAAAAAATTTATACTATTTTCCACTAACTAAATCCTTACCACTATTATCGTTAAAAATCCAGAGAATTAACCGACAAGACTAATAAAATAACAAAGGTAATATCGATAAAATACTTGAAAAATAAGAGCTTCTGCACTATCTGACACAATTATTCATTATTTCCTCAAATTTCATTTCTATTCATAGGCATTATTTCCAAGCCTATTTAAAGCGGAATTAGTCCATTCATAGAATTGAAATCCATCACCATAAAACCTCTTTCATTTTACTTATATTAAAAATCGTTGGACAAATAATGTCGAATTCAATTTTTATCATAATTACATTTTCCGCAGTTTTCTTCCTTTTTTAATATTTTCTTTTCTTTGGATAAAATTGGAAAATGAATTTTCTTGAATTTTGAAAAAATCTTGAATTTTATTTTCTTCAACTTTTATTACATTTTTTTCGAATAATAATTTTATAATAAATAACTAAATTAACTAAATTAAATGTAATTAGTTTTTAATTTTAAACTTTAGGTTAAATGATAGTCTGAAACCATTGATTATGACATTAAGGATTTAAGAATTAAGATATAATAAATTATCTATGCAATCGGGAAAATAGCGCGAGCTTTTATTTCTAGATAACTTTACAGTAGTTTACTCGCCAATCATGGCTGTTACTGAAAAATTGGCTTAAATTACCTTGCTATTCTGTTTTATTGCAACTAATGAGCTATTTTGCTTCCTTTTACCTATTATTTTCGCTAATCGGCCAAACTGTTGATAAAAAATTGATAAAATAAAAAGGCAAAGGCACATGCTTACATATTTTATTTGATCATGAAAAATGGTGAAACTCTTTTCGAAATTAGTGGAAACCTAAATGGTTTTTATTTTCATACAAAAAGAAGGAGAAATAACAGAAAAGTTTCCAAAAAATTTTTCAAAAAATTTTCATTGCATTAAATTATTTTTTCTTTTCTTTATTCAACTATGAGTTTAGCAAAATGAATAAAAAAATTCAGAGAATTAAAATATCTTTGTGAAGAAAATTAGTATTAGATTTATAGTGAGAGGAATTGAAATATCCGAGCATCAACAAGAGATTCTGAAAATTCTAAAAACCTCACTAATGATCCACTTTTTTTTAGCATTTCGAGCTTAATACTCTTGCAATAAGTAATATTAATAACTATCCTGATCAGTGCTGAGAATACAAATTAACTTTTAGTTCACAATATCATCGTCATCAAGTTCATCGAAACTTGAAAGCAATGTTCAATTGCCGGAGGGTATGGAAAATTTATCGCAAGAGGAACGAGACAAAATTATGGCAGTTATGGCTTGTGCCGAGCTTGATTCTAAAGAATCAGCAATGCGAACTTCTAGCACAATTCCACAATCACGAACGTCCGATTCATTTTTCAAAATAGAAAAAAGGTTAGTAAATTTCGATAATAATGCTAATTTGGCTGAAATACTGATTAAACTGTAGGCTAATATTATTTGTTGTATATTATATATTATATAATATTATAATATATTATATTATATTATTATTATATTATATTATATTATATATTATAAATTATATAATATGCTACTTTATTTTAAGTCAAAATTTCAAGCAAACTAAGTTATATGTCAACGAAAGCTAGCAATTTGTCAATCATTGTCCTCTTTGGACGATAATTACTAATCCTCATCGCGAAAAAAATTGTTTTACTTCTTGAATTATGAAAAAATATTTTTTACTGTTTACAAATAAGTTAATGGCATAAAATGTCCAACTTATTGTCCCAACTTAAGAAAGATAGGAACTAACTGATTTTATGTTTCAGCAATCCAAAAATAAGACAGTCAGAAATGTCTAATAAATATAGTTCAGTCACAAGTCTACCAAATGCATCAGCACACAAATCGTTTATCTCTTCAATGCCATGCGCTGCTCCAGTGATAAGTGAAAGCGATTTATCAGATTTGACGCCAGCTGAGCGTGAGCAAATTTTAAGCGTAATGAGAGCTGCAGAAAACGAAGAATCAAATCTAAATCTGCGATTACCTAAACAAATGCAAATTGCGCCAGTTTCAGGAATTTCATCTTTGCCATCTCAACAATCGTCATCAGTAACGTCATTGAAAGGTTTGGACAATTACTTTATTCCAGTTTAAGAGAAATAAAATGAATTAATGGAATTGTTTCATGCGAAGATTTATAAAAAATTCAATTTATTTTGTAAAATCTTCGACAAAATTTTTATCATTGAAGATAAATTAAAAGCAAAAAAAACTATCGCAAAGAATAAAAATATATTAAGACAAGCAAAAATATAAGAAAATTTTCGGGATAATTTATTGTTTATTTAGCTAATAATTTTGATGGTTCAAGCATAGCTAAGAGAGAACAAGTCCAACCCATTGTGACTAAAGAAGATCGAAAAACTGAACACTTATCGAATCCTTCATTGATACATTTCTGTAAATTTACATGCAGATTTCCTAAAATTTCTTAAAAATTTTTTCCTTTTTTTTTCTTGAAAAATCCATGTTAAAATATTGAAATATTTAAAATATTGAAAACTATAAGAAATAGTGGCAGTGAAAATTAATGTTTTTTCATTGAAATAAGCTTTCTAAGAACAAGCAGTTACCATTAAATTCAAGTTAACAAGTTTTTTATTTTTTTCAAATATTCGCGTACAATATTATATATTTCTTATATTATTCAACTTTGCGCAAGCAAATTATTTTTGAGCATATCTCATAGACTTTCTTGTAGATAATTGAAGAAAAAAGTCATTTAATTATCTTGCGAATAAATTGTTCGATAAAATTAGATAGAATCCTCTTACTTGGCAACAGTAATATTTTTCAAAACAGTTAAATTAAATTTTCACGTTTAATTCTGAATTAATTCTATTTTAATCTTACAATTTCACAAAATTTATCATCTCACTTTGAAATTCTTTTTTCTCTCACTATTACTGGTTAGGTTGGCTCCGCTAGCTACAAAGTGAGAGAAAGGCAAGACATCTCCAAGCTATTGAGCCCGACGTATTGCTGACAACAATAGAAGCCATTCCTTTTTCCATCGTCTAAATCCCGTATATTGTTGGTTCCCCTATAATTATTCCTGTCTGTATCAGTACTGGCCCTCCTCGTTTCTGATTCTTCTTATTCCATTAAAGGGCTATTGTGGTGGGCGAAGAATATGCTCTAACCAGCGAAGGCTGAGCATTGTACTGTTCGTAATGCAGGTCGTAATTGAGCGAATTAGCATTTCTTCGTCAGATAGATTTCGTCTATTCGGTGGACTCGTAAAATGTACCTTTCCCTATCATATACTGTACTGATATAAGTGCAATTATAAGGCGAATGATCTTCTCTAGAACACCGTCACATTCCATCATCCTCCAAAGCGCTCTGTCAATCGAAGGCAGCTGCAAAATCGATGAAATAAGTGAGTTGCAAATATTTAAAGTTAGTTGCCGATTGTTACAGATATATGTTGTTCCAACACCTTTTTTAATGTGATTATCTGGTCAGCATAACCATGCTTCTATCTGAATCCAGCTTAGTTAGGATGCACTCTATTTTCTCGCACTGCCACAAGTCTATATAATAGGACAAAAGCGAAAAATTTCCTAGAGATGTTTAGTGGCTGATTCCTCTTGATAATTATCACGATATGTCTTGTCATATTATATTATATTATATTTATATTATATTATATTATATTTATATTTTACTATATTTATACTATATTTATATTATATTTATATTATATTTATATTATATTATATTATATTATATTATATTATATTATATTATATTATATTTATATTTTATTATATTTATATTATATTATATTATATTATAATTATATTATAATGACAAGTTTGCTCCTGTCGAAAACACAGTGGTGCTAATTAATTTGGGGAAAAAAAATAAACCTTGAAATTTATTATTTCTAAATATCTTTTCCACTATATTATATCTCTAATTTTAGGATCAAAAAATAAAATTTAAGATGTTTTTTATTTTTATATGTTCTACATTATATAATTTGGTGAAATTCTGAGATTAGAATCAAAGTGAATAATCTATTACAAATGAATATAAAATTGAATTAGTTTTTAGTCCAACTTATCTTACAAATGTTTGATTTTTCAGTATTACAACCTAAATCACATGATGATAAAAAGATTGAATATTTATCAGACGATACGCGAATGGCTCATGTGAGAGATAGCAATTTCGTTGGTGAAAATTCTGAAACGGAATTGGAAATGCAAAAATGGACTACATCTCAGTCAAACGGTTCGCGGCAAAATTTGCTGGGAACATCTTCCACTTTTTCAGACGACATGTCATCACATCGTGAGAGTGACTGTACAACAGGGGAAAGTGGTAACTATGATTGTGGTCTTCAAGCAATCACGCATGCTCCTTGTTCATTCGATTTTAGCAATGAATATTCTACTCCACCTCATGAACAGTATAATGAAAAACATGATTCCGATTTTGCTCGTGAAAATGATTATAAATTTTATGCGGGAAACAATGAGAAAAGATATCGAATAGAAGGATCAGAAAATGGTATTCATGTTGACGGTGTTGAAATAGACGATACATGGCAAAATGAGGTTATTTTTATCTTTTTTTTCGCAATTCGATAGATAACTATTCTTGTCTCGTTATGATTTTCCAAGGAAATTTAAAGGGAGAAGAGCCGAGATGGACGGATCGAAAACAACGCATGTGGACAACAGTTTTTAATGAGGAAGAGGAAAAGTTAGAGGATAATGATGATTATTCTTCAGGTTGAATTTCCTTAAATTAAAAATATTTCGGTGCAAAATTTTTTTTCTTCTTTTTCCATTATCAAGTGTAAAAATCATGCATTTCAACACTACGACCTATAATTTTTTCTTACTAATATTTATAATATATTAACAAGTATTAACAAGTTATAAATAATAAAATAATAAATAAATAATTTCCTAATAAATTTATAAAAAATAATCAATATAGTATGCATTTTTTAGAAACGACAGATAATAGAAGTAGTGTTGTTGGAAATGTACAATCGAGAATTGATTTGAATTCTTATCAAAGTGCGCGTCTTGATGATGAAAAATCTCAAAATGACGTTCATGAACCACAATTTCTGCAATTAAATAATGTTATATCATCTATACATCGCACCGTAATTTTGTTTTTTAGTCCATTTCAGAAAGAATTATTTTTTCCAAAATAATTATATTTAAAAAATAATTTCTGGATTGGTAATTATTTCAGCAGTCATCATCTGATGCGCTCGATAAGCCTATAGTGCCTGACGAAGTTCCTGATCCATTCTTTCACCATGGTAATTCAAACGGTGATGAAATGCAACGGTAAAAATATTTGCTTTTTTGAATTTTTGAATCTCATTACAAGTAAAATTTTTTACAGAACACGGCCAGAAATTAAAATAACTGATCATGATAAAGATAAAGAACACCGTGGAGATGATGATTCGGATGTAGAAACAAGTCCTTCATCAGATGAAGACGATTATCCTGATCAGGCAATTTCCATTATCATTATTCATAAAATTAAAGCATGAAGATTTGTCAAGTGAGGGAGAATAGATTGGCGGGGTTTAATACAAGAGATAGGACTGGTGGAACTCGGGAAGGAATTTGGTTTTTTAGCTTTTTAGTTTCTATCGACGAACCCAAGCAGGCTAAGGTTTTTTTTTAAATTTTATCATTAAACAGATAATATAAATAATTAATAAATAGTCAAAATAAAATGATTCAAAAATAAAAATTATTAAGAAAAATAAAACAAATAAGAGTTTCTTCAACTTCAACTTCAAAAATGAACCTATTTTGAGATATATATATATATATATATAGACTTGTGATTTGTATGAAAACATTTGGTGGGAATGGCAACAAATATTGAAACAAATATGCACACAAAAAACTATAACAATCTGATTATAGCATTAATTGTGAGATTCGTTATACAAGATAAGACAAGATAAGAGATTTCGCACACTAATTTAGTTTTTCAGCTATACAAAAAAATGAAATGGTATCTTGCTAAATCAAGATAATAAAAAAAAAGTATGAAAAAATTGTCATAGTAATTTGGGATTAGTAGGCTAATTCACAGCATTTATTGGAGGAATTTATTTTATATTTTTTTTTATTCGCTATTTGCGACAACAGCTAAGTACCGCTTTTGGTAGAGGATTCGAGACTGAGAATGATCCTTACCACCTAGAGGGAGTGAGAAAGAGATTTTTAAAATATATGGGTCGAAACTAAATGTATGGAAAATAAAGGACAAATTACTTTCAGTGATAATAGGAGCATTGGGGACTTCACTCTTAAAATAGAAAAATGGCTTCAAAATCAAAAGCAAATTCAAAAAGATCGTTGTATAACGCACTGTTAGGAACAGCATAAAATGCTGCGTAGAATCCTTAAGCTCTCACACCCTTGGTACAGGAACCGAGGTTGAGGATGATTCGTACCACTCAAAGAAGCTGAGAAAGGGATATTCTTTATTTTTCGTAAATAAAAAAATTTTAATACAACATTTTTAAAACGCGGACATTGTCAAATCGAGGAAATTCAGTCTATTAATTTTTTTAGGTAATTGAAGCTCCGTCAGCACCTGCTTTGCCTTATGATGAAGTGGAAAGAGAGCGTGAGCAGCAGGAGGCTTTTGGCAAAGAGGTCCTCAAGCAGATTCAGGTTTTTTATTTATTAAGAACTTTTAAAAAATTAAAAAATTTCTTTTTTTTCCTAATGAGAGTGGACGATTAAGGATTACTGAGACTTGGGATTATTAAGGCTTTTGGCGAGTCAGCGAATGATGAATTCGATGTGCAATGGGCTCACGATAAATTAAACACAAGTCCTTTGGACAAAAAGATCTTCATTCTAGATGAAAGTACCGCACCTCAGGTGAATTGTTAAATTTACAATACCATTTCAATAAATCTTAGAAGCCGCCAGATTTTTTAGTTGTATGATCGACTTTGAAGTTTTTTTTCGTAAATCCGATCGAATTTAAATTAGATTGACTATTGAATTCTCCAGAGAGAAAAAAATTTTGCTTGGAAAATAAATAAATCACAAGTGCTCAGTTAATTTTCCTAATATTTTTCAGTAATATTCTCAATTTTTTCATATTTAATTTAATTTATCATAGAAGTTTCATTTCATCATATATTTTATTTTTTGTTGATTAATTTTTGATTTTTTTTTTATTTTGCTTATTTATTTGTTTTTACCAACTTTATTTACAGTTTCTGAGTTTCTTTTTTAAAAAAAATATATAGAAATATTTTGGTTATATTTATTGCATAATTATGTTTTAAAACTTAAAATTTTTATTTAGACCAAGTTTTTCTAATCAGTAAAATTTAAATAATAGAAATTGAAAGATAATTGAATGGTTACCAATAAAAGACTCCAAGATTACTTTTTCATTTGAAAATTATAGTATCATAATTTATTTTATAAGCCAGAACAATATTTATTTATTAATGATTTGAGGCAAAACAGGACAGTACACCGATTTTCATTGAGGACATGTCAACACAGCGAGAAAATGAACCATTGGATGTGAAGACGTCAAGCGGTGAACGCAAAAATCCATTTTTAGATGACGATGATGATGATGCAATAAAAATTGTTGAAGAAAATGTAAGTTAAAAGTCAATAAGCTAAAACCAGTAATTAATTAAAATTAACTTGGTCTGGAAACTTGAGTTTATGAAGAAATTCCAGATTGTCCAAATTTTACTTCTAGTTTGATTAGTATTATTAACTGGAGATTACTTCGAGATTTTCTGATATTTTTAAATTATCCAATTGGTTTTCTAATTGTTTTCTAATATAATTATTAGGATGTGGATATGTGTGATTTGGACTATACAATTGCCGCAAAATATTACAATAATCAGTATTCGAGTCGTAGACCAGGACCAGTTTATACTATTCCTGAAGATGAGGAGCAAAATGACGGGCAAATCGGTACTGATTCGAAATATTATGGTATATTTTGGATAATTCACCGTATTTCTTTAACTATCATACTATAAATTTGCTTTAGTGTGATAATGTGATGTTAATCTATATTGGGTAATAATTTTTATGGAATTGAACTGAAATATTGAATTTATGGAATTTTATGGAATTATCTTGATTTATTTTCTCGATAATTTTCTTTTTTTTGTGCAGCAAAAGAAATCGTTCGTCGTGTAAGCAGTCCAAAGATAACTACGGTACCTATTACGCCAACAATTTCAGTTAAAATTTCTAAAGTTGAAAAACCTCCAAAAACAGGTATATGTATGCATATATACATATTTATCAAAAATTTTAGCCATTGTACCAAAAAAAAGAAATTTTTAATTTGTACAGCTTTCTTATTATTTTGTGTAGATGAAAAAATAGTTACTATTCACAATTTCTAACTAATTTTTTATTTTTTATTTTATAACAATTTTACTGAGGCTTTTTAGGCAGCCATATTTTTTTATAAAATCTTTTAATTTGCTTTTGCAATTTTATTAAAAATTTTATCAAATGAAATTATAGAAATTATTACTAATGTTTTCACCCGATGTAATTAATCACTAATCATTATATGTAATTGTTTTTTGATATTTGATAATTTTTTGATTAAAAAGCGTTAATTTTGCAGTATCTCATGCAACAAAGACTGTAAGTAGTGATGATTATTATGATCAGATGCAAAAAGGACAAGCTGGGCAAACTAGATTCATTGCTTCATCTAAATCTGTTACCACAGCCGCCACAAGTTCATTTACCACACCAATGCAAAATGTTGAGTCGATAACGATTGTACCAGCAGAATTAGAAACACAAGAAAATGCGCTAACACCCGTTCGTAATGCACCACCACCACCATCGGAAACTATTTGCAACGGTTTCAGTGATGTGAGTTTTAATAATGTTTGTACTAAATTCTGTAATAGATTTACTACTTTATTTCGATGTTTTCAGGATGTAAATTTGTTTGAAACATCTGCATTTAAAGCAGAAGATGGTGGTGCAGCTTGGACAACTGATAATCCAAAGCCTTTACAACAATTAGATGCTGAAGGTTGATTTTCAGTTTAGCAAAAAGACGATGCAAATTTTTGGTAATTATGATGCAGCGTTTTCTTTACTTAACAATTACTCACTGACTGCAACTGATTAATAAGCTAAAAGCTAAAGAATGACTGAGAAGAGCACCATTTTGAAGTGTTGGAAAAAAGTGCAAAAATGATTTCTCTATTCGATTAGGGAAATAATAAGATATGTCATATTAACCGATGTTCAATATCATGTGCAATAGAAGTGAATTAAATTTCAGATTATCTCTTCCCAAAATGCGATGAATCTAATGCTAAAATTCAATCGTCAGATATTACTACAGCATCTGCTTCATTTACATTGCCATCATGCATTATATCATCTTTCTCACAACCAATAGTTACAACGACATCAGTTATTTCGAGGACTCTTGGAAGTACATTAGAATCAGCAGTACATGGAGTACCATCTCAAAAAGAGAACATTTCAGCGATTCCAAAGTAATCTTATTAATTACTTCCACTTCCGCGGACATCACTTAACTGCTTATTACTTATTTACGCTTATTTATTAAGATTAAAACGTTCACCAGCGATGCTTCTTGCGAATGGACAAAGTAAAATATCCTCAACATCAGATCAAACAAGCATTTACCGCTGTTTTTTACAACACCAAAGTGCTGCCTCAGTCGCTGTGCAACCTCGGTTGAAAGAGGCCTGTTTCTGTTCCATTAATAAGATGTAAAATCTTTTCATGAATGAACTTTAATTGTCTATTTATTAAGTATAATTAGATTCCTAATAACGTTCATTATTTCTGGCTGGATTCATTCTGTTGGACGAGACAAACTTTATAGGGAATTCAGCGATAATGCAGATGAGCTGCCAGCTTCACTCGTATTTTTAGAAGATTTACTCATGCCAGAGTTGTATTTAGTTGTATTTAGACATCGGCGCTCAGATGCAAGGGCAACAACCCATTGAGCCGTACTACCTATTATCAGCCGTACTAGAATGAATGAAAATAATTTTTTTCAAGTTTCTCGCTAAAGTTTTTAATTAATAAATTGAGATTAATTCTCTTATTTAATATTTAATTTAATAAAATTCAATTTATAGATATTTTCAAAGTTTTTTATGAAAATCTTCCAAATAATAAATTCGAATATTTTTATATACTTTTGAAAGAATTTATAATAAAAAATAAAGAATTTTTCTAAAAAATGTTGCTGTCCAAAAATCTATTTAATCTATTTTATTTTCATGAAATAGTTTGAGAAATATTAATTAATAATAATATATTAATATAGCATTTTCTTGAAATATTGCTATCTTTGTCATTCGTATTGTATTCTCAGACTGATTTTTCATATTATAAATAGCTAGCATCGGTTACCACATCATTAAAAGTTAATCATTACTTGTTTTCCATAATTATTGGATTATTAATTTGGTCCTGCATCAATTAACACTTGTTCTTAAGGTTCGAAATTCATTTTATTAGAGTATAGAGCAAATTTATTGGAAAATAGAATGACTCAATGAATTGTCGCTCAATTCCGACCGCCGATATTGAGGTTCTACATTCCACAGAAGTAAACCTATCCAAAAATCCGGGTGATGCACCTTGCTTCTGACGCCAAGGGATTCCCTGGCATATTCGCCTCATACGACAAGCCAGCAAAGCGACCCTAACTAGTAATGGTGAGGACTCTTAGAAGACTCTTAAACTTATTAGGGTTTATAATTATGGAAAATTGTGATTATATATAATTGTATATAATTATAAATAAGGTCTAAAGAAAAAATTTTGGGTTTCAAAAACAACGGCGCTCTTAAAATACTCTATGCTTCCTTGCTTCATTGTTGCAGTACTAAAGAGGACCTTTTTTCATTATATAAAACATTTATTTCTGGTTTTACTGGCTTCATTGGTTATTAGAATGAAATCGTTTCCTAAGTGTCTTGTAAGGGATTCCCAGCGGAAAGTGCAGCTCACATTTAATGGCACTTTAACTTTAACGGTACGACTGCTCTATTCAATAGACAATAATCATGCTACTTGCCTTCAGATATACCATTCAACAGATTTGGCTCTTATGGAGAAGATAAGGACTTGGTGATAACGAAAAATGAATTAAGATGTAAAGAAATGATAGGATAGCTACGAACAAAATAAGAACAAACTGAGTCATTTTTGAGAAAACATTGATCGAAATTAAAACGACACTAAATGATAGAGTGATGAGATGATAGACTGATTCTTAATGCAGCATTAATGATGGTAATGAGAGAAGCTATAAATAAACGAAGAAAAAGGAGAAAAGCAAAATAAACAAGGGTCTTTTTCAGAGTCCACTTAACCGAAAAATGTTTAAAAATTTGTAAACTGGGGTTCATTTGGAGGTTAGTGTTGGGTGAATAGTCGTACGATGAGCCATTTAAAATAACTCTTCAGCATAAAATAAGTGAGTGGAAATTTATGAATATATATTTGGGGATCATACTACCAATTCTAAGCTTTTTTCCTGATAATCTATCTCTATAATCTATAAAGAATTTTAATATTATATTCAAGGTAGGGCAATAAGGAAATTTTTCTTGAGGTGAATTTTATTGATTAAGCTGTGAAAATAAGTTGAGCGAACTGAATGCAAAAGTAGATCGGTGATTTTTCTTCAAAAATTCATCGAATATTAAGAATTGAATGCATATAAAGAAAAGGAATTTATTTTCATTTTTTTATTTCCTCCAGTTGTATGGAAAGGAGGAGGATAAAGATGAAATAAATGGAAATCAAAAGGAATAAAGTAGCATTCTCTTGGATTCTTGGATTCGTAGTGGATTTGGATATCCTTAAAGATCGGCTGGATTTTAATATAACCCAATTACTCATAACGTTATCAAATGTCTCAGGTTTTTTTTCATAGATTTTCTCATGGTAATCGTAATTTTTTGGAAAACATAAGTGATTTTATGTTCCTGCAATACTAAAAATTTTTGAAAGAAGGCTTGTTTTTCTTAAGAATTTAATTATGAATAAGAATTTAATTATGAATTTAATTTAATTAATTTAATTTTAAGAATAAAGAATTAGTAGAAAAAATTTCTGCTTTTAAATTGATTTCTTTTAAATTGATTTTAGTAATTCTTGCAGAAAGGCAATTCTTTTTAAATAACCCTCAGAGAATTCGCCTGTGAGATTTTCGGAAGAAAAAATAACTGGAAGAAGCCTCCCTTGTGACTTTAACGAATGATTTCAAGCAAAATATTTTCTTTGCTCTGTTCTGCAAAAAAAAAACGATGCTTTCTTTCTTTTTTCTAATCTAAACTACGTTTGTTCTTAATAAAATCATTGAAGCATCCGAGTAAAATCTCTATGAACTTGTAGGGATTATTTTATTTTGCAAAAGTAGTGATCAATAAATCCATCGAAAATTATTATACATCCCTATCAACTTGATGAATTATTGGTCGCAAATTTAAAGAGTTTTATTAAAGTAAAATGGAGATTTGGAGATACAGTATTTTTTTGTAAGAGCGCACGATTTATTTCTGCTTTATTCAATCATTCTATATTGTTTGAAATATGTCCTGTGGACCAAGCAAAGTTCTAGTCATAAATTTCCGAGTGGACCACATATTTTTCGGATTGTCTACTTGCTTAGTTATTATTCAGTTCATTTTAAATTTTACGTTTTTTTGATGAAATTTATGTTACGAATTTATTGCGAATTTGTTCATAAATGATTTGTTTTAAACTCTATAGACTTTTTTCTTATTAATATATTTCAGTTTCATTCAATAAATGAACAAATACTCCCATTTGCATAAAAACTACTTAAAATACCGTGATTATGGCAGATTGCTGGAAATTTGACTATTTTTACTCCATCTATTTTCAATCTTTTTCTTCCATTCCTGTGTTCCTTTTTTTCCTTTTGCTTTTAATTTTCTTCATTTTCCTTCCTTAATTTTTTTAAAATAAAATAGGATACAATTATCCATTGTGGCTGAATATTTAAAATGAGGAATAGAAGAGAAGGATTCAAAAAAAATTCTTAGGAACGATTCTTATTAAATAAAAGCTATAATGTTCAATTTTTTTTTATCTTTCTTACGTTTCGAGTCGCAAAACTTTGAATTCTTTCCATTTTTCAATTTTTTCTCCGAATAACAATTGCAAATTTATGTTCCTTTCATTAATAAATCGATTCATTAGGATTTATTAGAATTAGCGACATGAGATTACTGTAAATAGGTACAAAAATAGTTTTCTTCAAATAATAACTATTAAATACTAAAACTATTCTTAATGAAATAATGTCAGAAATAAAAAGAAGAAAAAAATACGCAAAGGCAGGGGAAGAATTATTGCATAAGACGTTGGCTGCTTGTGAGGAATCTCTATGGTCGACGACAACGATTATGTGGACTAATACTACTACTGTTTTTGATGCTATTGCTATTACTTTTAAAAACTATGGATGAGACGGCGACTAAAGCGATTTGATAAGCATATAATTTATTGACTAAATTGGCCTCTGAATCCACTTAACAGTGTTTGTGCTCATCTATATTACTTTCAAATTCCTACACATTTATTTCTTTTTCCTATCAATCTAATTTACTTATCTTATTTACCTACTTATCAATCTAATTTTTATTTTTCATTTTGTTCACGTTGAGAATAAATTCACTGAAATCCAGAAACCTGGATTTATATAATCCTCGCCATTTTCACTTTGCTATTTCCCCATATCCAATCCAGCAATTATTAATCGATATATTTCGGCATTCATTAATCAAAATAATTATTGGTGCTGTGCAAGATTCCGAAATGTTTTACATTATTTTCTCATTTTTGTGCAAACATCTCATGCAAAATTTTTATCTGTCAAAATATTCGCTGCCTTAGTTTATCATTATTGTTGAGAAAGAATTTTCTTTCGTTGTTTAGCATCAAAATTCATTCTTATTTCCTTTTAGTTACTTATACTTATCTAGTCACTAAAGCATTTAAATTCGTTTTATAAACGAAGGGAGGAAACTTAATTTGTTCATCGCAACGATTATTTGTTTCAATTAAATTCGTCTCAACGAGTTTTAACGCAGTTTTTTTGTTAATTATTGTATTAGATTACATGAAGCAAAAAGAAAAAAAAATAGAAAAAAAGGAGAAGGACCAAGGAAAGGACTAAAGGAATATATTGAAGACGACGGACGTATCAGATTTTTACATTTATTTGTTTGCAAATTTGCTCATGCAAGTGGTATTTCTCGGTAAGTATTGTTTGTCTTCAATAAATCTAAAATGATTTAATGTGGAACAATTTATTCTTTAATTTAAATTTGGAATTCGAGCAATGAAAACATAAAATTGAAAGCGTTAATATAGTTCACATGTAGATTTGGATTGTTTAGCTTTTTAATCATATGCTTCGCAATTTTTGCATTTTATATTTGATCCGTGTGATTCAATAATGGGAATTATTCGACAGCTTGCTTGATTTCATAAAAAAAATCATTCGTTGACTTAGTTTTAATGTTAGAGGTTAAGACTTATAGCGTGGAGCGCTGTTGTTTCTTTTCTTTCTTGCCTCATTTCTTTTATAAACCTAATTGTCGCTAAGTTGAATTTTTTTCTGTATTGTATGTGATCATTGAATATTTATAAATAAGGAGAGTATTTTCGTAAACAGCGAGATTAACTGCTTTCCTTCTTGTTTTTCGAATTTGATTTTTGGCTGCTTTATTTAAAAGAAAAGTTGAGTTGAGTTAGGAAAGAAAATTTTCAATTTGTTGAGATAAATTGTATGTGTTAAAATAATCTGGTTAGTTTCAAATAATTTAGTTAGTTGCTATAATTTTAGTAGATTATTTCGATCGTTTGCAGGATGATGCGTTATCGTGCGTTTCATCAGAGATGGGAAGACGAAAGCTGCCTTCGATACCGACACAAAGAACAGAGAAGGCCAGCAGTGAGCAACCTGCACCTGTGTATCTCACATCGAGTAATATATCATTACCATCGTCTCCATCCGAACGGCAATATTTTCTTCAGGATACAAATCGCTCACGTCCAGCTTCTCGCGCATCCTCTTTAAGTGATCTTTCTCGATCATCAATCACTACAGCCAGTACATATCGTGGCGTTGATCCAGCAATAATACCTGGTGCTGTAATACCAAATGTACGTCAAAAAACGATACGTCAAACAACTTCTACTGCTACCGGCGGACGTTCGAACACTCTTGGTCAATCATCATCACGTATGCCAAGTACATTGGCAAGAGTTTTGCTCAAGAAAGAGCTGAAGGAAGTTCTTGAAAGACGTCGTGAGGCTCTCGAAGCTTGTGAAATAGAAGCCAATCAACGAGAGTTTGTTGTTCATCGTATGCTCATAACTGGTCTATTGCCAGAACATCGTTCAGCTGATATTGACGATATTCCTAATGTTATACATTGTTTGCTGCCAGTTGAATTAGTTAATGGTGCAAAAATTGTTCCAAGTGGTGAACGATCTACTAATACTTCTCCACTATCATTATCGATGCAAACCGATGAAACTTCACGAGCAACTCAAGGAAATGACTTTGTAAGTAAGATTGAAAATGCTGTTTGCAGTGATGATCTCGAAAAACCCAAAGTTAAATCGATAGCTATTCAAGTTGAGTACAAACCCCATAAAACTAAGCAGTTTGCTTCATTTTACCGACCCTCTCAACTCTGTTCTTCTTTATCAGCTCCAAAAACGCCACAAGAAGCATTTATAACTACGAAATCCAAGTTTCAGTCGACTGGAACACAAACGAATGGAATAACTAGTAATCACTACGAATCATCACATAAATCGCCAGTAACAGGACGTTCACATGAAGCAACAAATAGTGGTGACACATATGTCTCATCATCCGAACCAAATTTATTGGAGTCAACTGCGAAATATTTTGCTGAATATGATCGTCAACTTCGTGAACATGGTCGGCGATTAAAGAATCGTTTTGCATTTAGCGACGATGATCCGATTAGTCGTGAATCGAAGAAACAAAGGCTGATAAGTGAATTAGCACAACGTAAAGAAAAAATCTCATCGATGGCTGACCTTTCCAATTCGTTAAATCATTCAGATTATTCATCGACAGTGCCACACTATGGATCTTTGCCGATAATTGACTTTCCAGCTTCCTCAACTACTCATTCGCTAAAAATACCGCGAGACTTCAAAAAACATGGTAAAATCCGCTACGGTTCTCTTCCTCGGAATTATGAGCGTCATATGGATAATTGCGCATATGAACCTTCTTGCAATTCGATTCAACCATTTGGCATAAGACAGTATGATGTATTATCCAGATCGCTACACGACCTGAGTCGCTCTTATGACGATATCAGTGATCCACGAATCCGCATCCGAAACACTTCTTCATTCAATCATTTACCTCAAAATGATGCTTACGATGTCTGTCACGGAATCCGTTCACAATTTATTAACGATTCGTGTGGTCGGCATGCTTATCCAGAATATTTATCTCTCGAAGATGCTCAAAATCCTATGGAAGCAGATATGATTTCTCAGTATGCAAATTATTTGAGCAATGAATTTATGAACAATCAACGCAAGCTACTTGCTGAATATGGTACAGATATACCGTCAGCTTTTCAGAGAGATACAGTGCGAACAGAACCATATCCGAATTTTGTTAATGTATATGGTACTGCGCCGTCAAATCTTTGTCCAGATCGTGCAATTTATATCAAAAGACCATTAAACGAATATGAAAAGCGAACTTTCATTTCTAATCATTCCGCTTCACCAATTCTTCGATCTAATTTTCATCCAATCCATTCTATACAGCAATCTTCTTACCAACCAGTAGCTGCATCGTCACAAATGCAGTATCCTTTTATGCCGTCTGTCAATTATGTCCCACCAACAGGTTCCAACACAACCAAATTTCCTCCTTACTTTAATGAAGTTTATAGTCGTAACGAAGTAAATTACGGATCAAGACCATTATATTCCCTTCCCGAATATGGAAATTTCCATCGGAATCGTTTTCTGAAGGAATCTGATGCTTGCTTTAACGGAAATTTTGGTCCTTTATTGGAAATTTACGGCAATTCGCCTGAGAATCACGGTGCCTTGCGCGATCAGCAATATCGGCCATATTTTGCACAAAATGCGCAAAATCTGCAATATTCGTATAAGCCCATAACTAATTACCCATTTCCACTTGATCAACAAATAGAGCAATACTCGATGGGCAATAATAGACGATTTGGTAATCTTAGCTGTAATTATGGAAGGGCATGGTTGTCAAACGGAAATCTTCCAATGTCCACATATTATGATGCAATCTATCCGAAAGAAAATGCCAAAGGCAACTTTGCAACTACTAGTCGATTACGGCCTTTTCGTTCATATCAAACCGGTAATCCTTCAGTTTTAACAGCCCAGATGATTTCATTGTAAGAATCATAATAATAATGATTATTTTTTACAGTACATTGTAACTATAAAATTTATATTTTGTTTTTGTTTGCTCAAATCAGCCAAGAAAACTAAATCTTCAGAGATTGAGTTGTTGCAACTTTTAAATGTTTTACTTGGCTACAACATGAAATTTCGATGGCAAGCATTAACTATTCGTTGCCATCAATTTTTTTGCCAATTGGAAATTTGATCTCAATCGTTCAAAAAATTTTGCATTTTTTCTTGTCTTTTTCCAATTTTCTGGATGTTTTCTGGGTACCAAATTTCCTAAAGATATGGTATTTAATAATAATAATGATAATAATAATAATTATAATTATAATAATAATAATGACATTTTTTTAAAATAAATTTCTAAGTTTTTATGATAAAATTATTAGAAACTGGAGTTTTTTAATCCTTTACCCACATAGATATTAACGGAGGAAACTTTCAAATTCAGGATTTCAATCTTTTTTTGACTAAATTTACATTTTTCCTGATAAAATTGTCAGTAAATCAGTAAAAAAAAATGGTACACGTTCCATCATTTCTAGTTAGGCTACTTGTTATATAGTGATAAATTTTTATTGAGGATACAGCACAGGTGGCTCTGGAATTGTCGACAGTCGTCACCTATATCACTATATTAAGTTTTAATTCTATCAACCATTTTGTTGCATATTTTTTATTTTCTAGAATTTTTAATTATCACTTTACGAATGAATGATAAAATCAGTGAAGCAGTGGAATATTTACTGGAAGCATGCAATACATTAACAATACAAATATATTTAAAATTAATAGAACATTCATGATCGCCCGATTTGTTTCGAAATAAATTTCAAAAAGTTAAAGAAGTAATGAGCAATATATTTTTGTAAATTTTGCTTGATATTAATAATTAATATTGCGAAAATTGAAAAATTTGCGAGAAAAATTGATGAGGAATTTGGGAATTTAAAAAGAGAATGGCTAAAATTCAATAAACTTTTGAAGGATTTGAATGAAAATTCAAGATTTTCTTTTGTTTTATTTTTCTTTTATTTATTTATTTTTCTTTTGTTTTATTTATTTTTCTTTTGTTGGATTCTATTAGCATAAAAAGATACTTGTGAATAACACAGAAAATTGGAAAACCATCAACAATTATCGATTTGGATTCGTTTGCATTTCCTCTCATATTTCGTTATAGAAGTTACTCTGGAAGATAAGAATAAAAAGGATTTCGCATGGTCTAAATTGAAGAAAAAAACGAAGTTGAATCTGCAACAAAATTTTGGCGAATTTGCTTTTTGCTTTTGCTTGATATTAAAAAAATGCATTAAATAGGAGAAAAAATTTAAACTAAGAAACGGACCAAACTTGGGACGACAAAATAGAAATTTCTTAGGCAATGATTATCCACTACTTTATAATAAGCAATATCTGCTAACATCATGGTCCTAGGCTAACATCACATAGATTATTTTCGTAGATAAAAACAATTTTTTTTCTGATATTTAAGTTATTTTATAATTTTAGTTGATTTTAGGTTTTAGCCTGGAAAGATTTATTAACGCAATTCTTTCACATTCTCGAAAATTTAAACAATTTACAAAAATCGTAATTATCAGCATCTTTTGGATTGATTTCATAGTACAACTATTTTATCCACATCGATGAGTATTTTGTTGTTAAGATCTTGAGATATAGTAACCTTATTTTATGGTGACTAAATAAATTAATATTGAAAAAGGGAAAAATTTATGTTGCAATAGATAATGATCGTTATATTCATATTCATATATTCATATTCAGTATGGAGTTGTCAGTGATATCCATCATATCAATATTAGTTAACGCTTATCTATTTTCGATTAGGCTAAATACACTAGCTGCGAGCCAATTTCGGAAGTGAGTCTCATTTGATGACAGAAATATAAATAGGTCGCTAACAGTCGCTAACGGCAATCTTGCCTTTTAATGATATTTTGTCCATATTGCTGGGGACGATAATCTGAGCAGTAATAACTTAAATATCGTTTACTATATAGGAAATATTTCTTCAGTAAATAAATTCGCAATGCACTAGTAAGTAATGTGGTTTCCAAATCAAATTCCTTCATAGAAAATTATAAATATTTAATAAAAATGATAAATAAAAAAGTAGCGCAATAAATATGCGGATATGATAACTGCGAAGTGAATTTATAGAATCTTCTATGTTTATTATGATAAATAATCGAATAAATAACCAATCTTCTTATCTTCTATTTATTCTTTTGTGCATTTTTTTGACCAAAGAAATTATTGGAACGATTGAGACCAAATTATCAGTTGTTGATTAACTGATTGATATAATAATTGATTATTACTAATTATTTTCCTCCCATTTTACCGCAGCTTTTAGTGAGTCAAAATTAGCAGAAGAATGTGAGTCTTATATTCAGGTAATGCATATACAGTATCAAGCCTAGGTCGAAATGAACGGCGATCACGTAAAAATCGGGTAAGTTACCCTTCTTTCAACTAATTTGAAAGTTATTGAGAGACTAGGACTTTCTGCCTTATTTTCAGTAAATATCACTATAGGTCCTTAATAGTGAGGGTCAAAAAACGTTCTATAAGACTCCTTTGAAGATCATCTTAACCATGCTAGCACACTATTTTCAACAAATCATGTTAGATCAAAATTCAGTTCCGAGTAAATGGAACCCAATCAGTGCATGCTTTTGAAGAAAACGATAACTATCGGCGGCGAACAAAATGTCGCGATAGGTCGTTAAGCATCAGCACAGAACGATGGCGTGATGCTAATAATTCATCTGATGGAAGACGATATCGTTCTGAATCGTTAAACGGTGAACGACGCCAAGAAGTACCGGTATCATCTAATTATCATTTTCGGTATCATACGAATAATATAAAGAGGATTTTATTAACTCGTAAATATCGTGATACTAATATCTACAACGGTGATTTTTTTACCACTTTTTTTCTTTTATGAGGAAAATTCAACCACTTTAAAGGAAGAAATTCTATTGATAATCAATATTAAGATTTGGGAATTCGAGTAACAGGAGGGAAAAAATTATGGAATGGTGATTTGGGTGCCTTTATATCAGCTATCAATCGAAATCGTTCGAAAGAATTGCTGGGCGAAATTAAAGAGGGTAAAATTATTAAAATTAATGACTATAGGCTGAATTAAATTTATTACTTGTTCTTTATTTTTAATTATTTTCTAAAAACAAAATGCTTAGGAAAAAATGTCTTCAACAAGTCGCATGATAAAAAAATGAAAATGTAATTAATGTAAAAATGAAAATGTAAAAATTTAATTAAGGTGACCAAGTGCTCGAATGGAATGGCATTCTTCTAACGGGTAAAACTTTCGAAGAAGTGGAACGGATAATTGGTGCAAGCAAAGGAGAGATAGAAGTTGTTATAAAAAGGTAACTGAGAATAAAATTTTCTTTTTTCATGATTTTCCCTTGATTTCTCAGAGATCTTAGAGTATTTTAATTCAATTTGTCTATTTTGATAATATTTGTAATAATCAGCTTTATCAGCTTTAATTATCACTATGATTATTTTAGTACCACTAGTGAAAGGCCAACCCGCCAAATTCTGAAAAATTTGAATTATTCGCGCGATTCTGTTGGCAATGATAGTCGAAGTCGTAAGAACTATGGTAAAATTATTTGTATTATTCTTCTTTCTTTCTTCATTCTATAACTTGGATCGAATAAAATAGGTTTCATAAATAATGGTGTAAATGGAGTGAACTTTAGATGAAACAAGTGATTATCAAAAAGAAGCACCTCCTGTTCCAGTTCATAGATGCATTGATGGCCGCGCTTCACCAGAATTCGACTATTATCCACCAACTGCTCAGTTTATTCAGAATTTTCCATCGAGAGTGGTTGCAAACGAAACTAATGCAAATTATCATGAGGTTTTTTCTTAAATTTTCGAAAAATTATGACGAAATTTCAAAAAAAATTGAAGCGAAAGAAATTAAATTTCTTTCATCAGAAATGGGTATTTAGCCCCGACGGATTTCCGGAATGCTTGTCTTTAATAATTTTGCCTTGTAGGTATTATGCGTTGTATAAAAATGAAATGGCTGCTTCTAAATTTCGAAAATAAAGTAAATAGAGTAAAATGCAAAGATAATCCCTTGATAGACAGCTAATTAAAATAACTAATTATATTCTATCAGTCACAACCTTATGCTATCTTATCGAATAATTTTCCTACAAAAATCGTTTCTGCTTCAATCATTTATTTCTACTTTTAGCTCACTTCATTGGGTTATCTCAATATTGCCCTATCGTATGATGCTTCAATCTCAACATTATTTATAACTGTATTATCTGCTAAAGGCCTTACCTATCGTCAATATTACAATACAACTTTTTACCCAAATCCTTTCGTGAAAATTTACTTGCTTCCGGGAAGAAAGTTAGTTCTTTCTTCATTTCTTATAAAACTTAAAACTTATAAAACTTTTCAATGGTTATCCAAGAATACGACGTTATACTTTGTTTTGTTTTTTACAGGATTTTACAGGATTCTAGAGGATTTTTTGTATTTATTGAGAATTAATGATGATGCCCCATTGTTTCAATTAGTTTTGACGAAATTTGGATATAACGTAATGCTGAAAGTTGGATTCAATTTACAACTTGATAATGAAGAATGATCTAAGTATAAATAAATATTTGTAAAGTATTTGAAGGGTATCAAATAAGCGTCGAACGAAATTTGTTCCGAATAGCATCGATCCGATCTGGAATCAAACCATTGAATATATAATATATCCGAGGGAACTCTATGGGCATTATTTAGAATTTACTGTGTGGGACTATGATAAAATCAATGAAAATAATTCTCTTGGACAAGTGGTGATCAGTCTTTCAGGTAGATTTATTTATCCAATTTTCACTCTTTTTTTAAAAATGCTTTTCATCCATTTCATACAAATGTTGTATCCATTTTTTCCACATCTCAGTTCAGATTCTCAATAAATAAATTCTCACACCTGAAATTCTCCTAAAATCCACCAATTTTCCAATTTGTTCAGAACCATACATATTGAATGGCGTTGCTCGTTGGTATCCATTACAAGCAATGCACCAAAATTTTGTGGTAAGTGGATTTCCTGGACTTCAATTCCAAACAGTTATACCATCCAAAAACACTTTCCAAAGCGTTCAACAGTACAATCCAGGTACTTCTATATAGTTTACAATCACTTAGATTTATAAAAAACATTATTAGTGGTTTTAAACGAAAATTCGAAATTCTAATAGTTTTAGGGTATAATACGCTAATGGTCATATGACATTAGTTTTATTGTGTTTATGTTTTGGTTCTTAAGACGACAAGAATTCCGAAGTAGGAATGTGCAAATTCAATATCTTAACACATTTTAGTAATTTTCAGCAACTCTTGACATCAGTTATCCGGTTATTGGATGAATCGATCTTTTTGATTAGTATAGCCTCGACTTGCTGCCATCAAAAATATTACCAACTAGCAATAATTTGTCCGGAACTCACTTCAACTAATAGTTGTAACTCGGCATTGAAATCTTATTTTTGCATTTGCTTTATTTCTTTGAAATCCACTAATATTTTAAAAATTTTGCGCATAATTTATAATTTATTTGCTCAGATACAGAAAATGATGGAAAATATATTTTTAATGGTTAAATCGCTTATCAATTAATTTTATTGATATTTGTCAACATTGCGCAATAATTCTGATTCTGATTAATTTCTTCATTTATTCTAAATTATTTTTTATTTTTAAAAAAATTTAAAAAAATTGTTAAAAGTAGATTCACCAGGAGTTCTGTGAATCGTTCAATAATAATTACATGTAGAATACTAATACTAATATTCTCAAGTTTTTGAATTGGTGGATCGGCCTATCTTTCAAAAAATTAGGTTTTAAAATACGGCGCATAGCACATAATATAAACCATATAATAGTTGGTACTCTTGTAATAGCGCTCAATCGTTATTGGCATGCATTGCCATTTCGGTAAGCGATGATCCCCTTTTTGCAAAACTGAAGTTCTTTAGCACAAATTTCACTCTATTATAGTGCTTATAGTGCTTATTAATTTATTAATATATATATACATATTTCCCCTAGTATATATAATAAATTTTTTTTCATTGTAATGCGGTTCACGCATAAATCGCGCTGAATTTGGATTTCTCACAGTGGACTTAGTCCGCCGTTAGATCTCATTTTTAAACTTGTGGCTTGAACCTAGATTTTCCCCGCCACAGTTTAACAAATATGCCTATTTTTTTCGCAATAACGGTTTTTTTCTTTTTTAAAATAATTGCCAGTCTAAGAAATCTAAACCAATCTGAAAATAATTGCCTTAATTATTACAATTTTTTTCAAGGAACTCTTGAAAAGAAAAAGAGATTTAAGCTACAAAAATTCTGTTAATATAATTCTGTTTCGCGCTACCTTAATTCGTGTAAGAGAATTCTGTGTTGCTCCATTTAAGTTTAAGCAATTTCCATGATCCTTTGAATAACTCTGTTGTTAAAAGTGAAATCTCGGTGGCTGTCGAAGATTCACCTAGATTTGTTTTCAGTTAACAATTCTACGGTGAAAAGTGATTTCCCTAGTGGTCGTGATTAGTGGCTAACTAAGTGGTTAGCCAAACCAGAAATAGCGCATGCTGTCAAAAAGGAAAAGAAAAAATTAATGGTTCTAGCCTAATCTCCTAAGCCTTTAATTTTTCCTTTCGATTTTCTATTTCGATTCAACAAATGCATCAAGAAAAAATAAAATAAAATGCAATTAGTAAAAATATTGATATAAAAAAGTGATAATTACAAATGTATAATTAAATGTATAAGGAGCAGAATGATCGAGAGAGATGCTTCTTCAAATAGGAATAATTGTCTCAAATCTTTTCCCTTAACAAGAACATAGTGAACAAATGAAATAAATAAAAATTTGTGTGCGATAACTGTTGGATAGACACCTTTATTTCCATCCTCAAGTAACTATCTGGCAGAACGATCAAAAAATCGCATAAAATAAAACATTTATTGAATATTATGCAAATTTTCTAACAGCATTATTTTCTTGTCGTTTAGCTAATACAGTATGAATGGGATGGAAAAGCCTGATCAAAATCTGCAGAATCTTAGAGGCATCAAAATTTTGAATGGGAAACAAAAATTTGAAATTTATCAGGTTTTTCTAACTCTTTCATCTCGAACTGAAAAACCTAAAAGTCCATTAATATAAATTATTTATAGGGAACTCGAATGTTAGAATTTATAGAATGGTAGAAAAAAGGAACAATGAACCTTCAAAAATAAGTGCGAAATGATTCTTCGTGGGGGAGGGGGATTTCGTATTTAAAGAGAACGTTTATGAATCTCTCCTGGAGACTTGGAAACATCGTTACCGGCAGGGAAACTTCGCATTATGATGATTTTTCTGTGGACTTATAGCGCAATTTGACTTTTCATTAAAAATTTTCACTTTTTTATTTCTTTACTCTCGAGATTTTCTTACTTTAAAAAATTCTTGTTCTCTCAGTCGTTTTTTCTCGTTCACATTTTCTTATTTATTTTTAAAATTATTAATAAGATTTTGCTTGCTTAGTGATCTGCCTTCTCAGTGATCTGTTCTCTCAAAGACGCGTTCAACAGGCATTGCACAGGTATTTGGTGGATTGTTGAATGTTTCTGCTACAAATAAACAATATTTTTTTGCATATAGAAAGTGATAATGAATTTATCAAAACGATTTAAAATTTTCGATAATTATAAGAACATTTTATGAAAAAAAAATAAACAAATAAAGAAAAACTGAACAAATGTTATTTTTGATTGAAAAAAAGCGCAAAAAAGTAACCTACAATTTAACTGGAAGGTGATAATCACGACTTTTTAACATATCATTGCAAAAGTTAACAGTCACGAAAAGATTATCACCAATGCAATAAACCTAAAAAATAATTAATAGAAAAAGGTGAGAACAGCCATTAATCCGAGAAATAAACCAATCCTAGTTATTACCAATATTTATTATCTATTATATTATATATAATAACCTAAGTAACCACGGAAGAAACATTTACCGTTTTTTTCTTCGTTTTTTCTTTCTCCATGTTTATTTCCATGGTAATTCATAAGCAATGACGGAAGCCGTCTAGCATGCACAGTCACTGATTTGGTTGGTACTGTTGGTGTTGGTGCTGAATGTTCATGGGGATGGGATCCTTTCATAAGAGAACATCTTGTGGTTACACCGACCAGGTGAGTCCCCAGCAGCTTCCACGAGGATTTCTTCTTCTTAGATTTACTTTTATCGTGATTGTCCTCAGTGTCAACTTGTCACCTATAGACAAAACGAAGTGCAACAAGATCAAACTTATTTCTTGCTACTATAGGACGTCAAAGATATCGAGGTGGCGAGATTTTCCATACGTGGTGCGCAAATGTCGCGCCGACAATTGTCATTAAGTAGAAATTTAAATTCGCGCGCCTATTTTGAACAAGCAGGATAAAGGACCGCGACGCGCCTATCATCGCGCGCGGTTATAATGTATATTGGTCATCATTGTTTGCTCGTGGAGCGATGATAGTAGCTGGTTTTAACGGGAAATTTGTTGTAGCGGATGTGCGCAGGAGGATTGGTAATTTAGTCTAAGGGGGAGGGTGTGGAAAGATTGAAAGCTGAAAGATGTATTCTGGTGAGTGTGCATGGACCTCTAGGGATTTCCAACGTTGGGATTTAAAGGAAATAAAAGGCCTCGAGAAAGGGGGATTTTGTCTGGATGAAAAGTTTTGGAAAGTACTTACTTGGTAACCGGGAATATATAACAATCATAGTGATTCTTTCCACTGGTACTTGTTGTTAAATTATTAGATGTTTAGCTGGATTCACTTTTTTTGTTTCTAAGATTTTTTAATTTCAGAAAAACTGTGGCTAAATTATTTGTACTTGTGGCTGTATGATAATTGGTCCTAAGTTAACAGCAGAATTTAGAGTAGTATTTAGGAAAATCTTTTTTTAAAATTCAAAGGTGTTTTAGGCGAAGTTTATTGCATTTTGTCTTTTATTTTATTATGGAAGTTCCATTATATTGAAATGTATTAAAATTATTTGATTAAATTAGCGTAAAATGGTTTTTTTAAACAGCTTATGAGAAGAGTATTACGCTGCTCGTATCCTTAGTTATTATATTCATAAGTTTTTCTTAATGAAGCTGTGTGAACGCTTTATTTAATGTATTTTTCAATTTTTAGGCGAGATTCCCTTCGAATAAAAACCCGCTATTTCCATAATGGTTAGTTATACCTTTTGATTTCAATTTTGTCTTTACATTATTGGTTTTTTTTTAAATTTAAAGACATTTTGTGGATTTTCATTCGTTATTGATGAAGGTATTTATTATAGAGAGAAGTTATATCGGTGCATGTTGGTCAAGCTGGTGTGCAAATTGGTAATGCATGTTGGGAATTGTTTTGTTTAGAGCATGGAATTCAGCCTGATGGTCGCATGCCTTCGGATAAACAAGGACAGTCCGATGATTCATTTTCAACATTTTTCTCAGAGACAGGTGCAGGTCGCCATGTCCCTCGAGCAATTATGGTCGATCTTGAACCGACGGTTGTTGGTTTGTGAATTTGATTATTGCATCAGATTTGTTTGTAAATTCACAGATTTCATTTGTAGAATAAATTTTTTCTTAGATGAAATTCGCACTGGCACATACAAACAACTTTTCCATCCGGAGCAAATGGTAACTGGGAAAGAAGATGCTGCAAACAATTATGCTCGAGGACATTACACTATTGGCAAGGAAGTAATTGATTTGGTTCTTGACCGTATTCGCCGTCTCGCCGAAAACTGCACAGGTCTGCAAGGTAAGTATTTTTTAATCTAATTCGTCTATGATGAATACTTTCAACTAAATATAACAGACATTTTCAAATCAACAATATACAGGTTTCCTCACTTTCCATTCCTTCGGTGGTGGTACGGGTTCTGGATTCACTTCACTCTTGATGGAACGGTTATCAGTTGATTACGGAAAAAAGAGTAAGCTGGAGTTTTCAATTTATCCGGCACCTCAAGTGGCGACTGCAGTTGTGGAGCCATACAACTCAATTCTCACTACTCATACAACTTTGGAACATTCCGATTGCGCTTTTATGGTTGACAATGAGGCCATATATGATATTTGCCGTCGAAATTTGGATGTTGAAAGACCATCATATACAAATTTAAACCGTCTCATTTCGCAGGTACATTTATTATATTTTATCAACATGTATGCTTTCTGAATTTTTTCTGTTGGTCGATTCGTGGAAATATGTTAAATTTTTTATATATTAACCAGTGAGAGCAGGTTAGATTAGATCGTATGGTTTTATACGTATTAGCAAACAAGAGAACACAATATGAGCAACGCAGAACATTTAGTAATCCTATTTGTCCTATTTCAAGAAAAATCCTATTTGACGAATTTCATCGTTTTAAATGGTCTTATACGCTCTTATATGTGATCTTATATGTGTTCAATTTTTTCAGGTTGTGTCATCAATAACAGCCTCACTGCGTTTTGATGGTGCATTAAATGTTGATTTGACTGAATTTCAAACAAACTTGGTACCTTATCCACGTATACATTTTCCCTTGGCAACATATGCACCAGTTATTTCAGCAGAAAAGGCCTACCACGAAGCCCTTTCAGTTGCTGACATAACAAATGCTTGTTTCGAACCGGCAAACCAGATGGTTAAAGTCCGTTTGTTTGTTTGTTATTGCATATTTTATTTAATTAAATGATTATTGAACAAACAAACTTTGAATTTTTTAGTGTGATCCACGACATGGAAAATATATGGCAGTATGCTTGCTTTATCGCGGTGATGTTGTGCCGAAAGATGTGAATGCTTCAATAGCGACCATCAAAACTAAACGCGCCATACAATTTGTTGATTGGTGCCCAACTGGCTTCAAGGTTTTCATGAATTTTAAAAAACTCTTGCAAGGCAGAGCTTTTATTCCACATTGTTCATTTATTTATTTTCTAGGTTGGGATCAATTATCAACCACCAACAGTCGTGCCTGGTGGCGATTTGGCAAAAGTACCACGAGCTGTTTGCATGCTGGCTAATACAACTGCTATCGCGGAGGCTTGGGCTCGACTAGATCATAAATTTGATCTTATGTATGCTAAAAGAGCTTTTGTGCATTGGTACGTTGGTGAAGGCATGGAAGAAGGAGAATTTTCTGAAGCACGTGAGGATCTGGCTGCATTAGAAAAGGATTATGAAGAGGTTCCTTTCACTTTGAATAGTTTAATTTAATTTAAGTAATAATTTAATTTAATTTTATGAAAATATAAATGTTCTCATTTATCAAATGACTATATGAATTATCAAATATAAATGTGCGGTTTTGCATTTATCATTCTTGGCGCATCGATTTATCCTTAGGTCGGTGTCGATTCTGGTGAAGGTGAAATAGAAGATGAAGAGTACTAAATCAAACGAGAGCCAAAAAAATTTAATTGGTATCAATTTACTTGTTGTTCTAATATTTTTTGCAAAACAAAATATTCTTGATGTTTTTTTGTAAAGTTTAATAATCACTCTAACAATACCTGTTCATACTTAACAGAAATTGTCTTCACCTTTACCGAACCTTTTGTTGTTTCACGAATCTGCCAAATTTACTGAAGGAAATAAATGGCGTTTATGCAAAAAAATTGGCATATTTAATCATGATGATAACGATAAATAAAAAAGGACCATCTAAGAGGTCCATCTAAACGATAAAATCATATTGCTCTGCTGATTGACATTTCCATTTCATTTAACGGGACGTGCTTCGGGCATTGGATAGTGTTGAAAATAATGGATATATACTGAGTTTACCATGCGATATTGCGAATTATTTTGTGTATCGTTTTCATCCCGTCAGTAGCGCGAAGGGTATTATCAAAAGTGAGGTTGGGGATGTTGTAAGTTATATATATGTGGTAAATTATATATTATTTACATAGTTTCGGTAAGTCAGGAGCAGAAAGGTTTCTTTGGCTTCTATTAGCGAGTTCTTTTACTATTTGTAAGAAAGATTGTCTCAAAAATGTAAAAAAATTTAGAATTTAATATCTATCAGTTGGGATCAGTATTTTCTGTACAAATGTTCTCATGAGGGAATAAAATCCCGAGTTCCTTTTACGAAAATTTGAGACCTTGGGTTTAGAATGTTAAAGACCAATTTCCAAATCTTTAAAATCTTTCGCTTAAAAATTTTCGCAGTATTGCCGAGATTTGAAAAAGTAATCATCCGAAGGATTGTAGATAAGGTTATGAGGCGGGGAAGAAGAAAGAAGGATAAAACTTATCCAATTTCTTTGATTGTCCCTAGCACGTATTTTTTAAAGCAAAGGGTGTTGCGTTAATGAAAACTTAGTCATAGGTACAATACAAGTCCAAAAAAATGCAAGTAATGAAGACAACAAACACCACCAAAGAATAACGTCATGAAGGGCCAGCTCAATGGGAAAATAAAATTCATGTCACAAACACGTATGCTTTGCCAATCAGATGCGCAGCGGGTACAGCGATATGTTCAAATGAAAACGTGGGGACTGCCAATATGAAATTAGTGAATAACAGAGCCATCCTGTTAAACATTGAGTGAAACTATGATAGACATAAGAGAAAGAAGAGGAGGCAGAAAAAGTGTCATGGCTGAAGGACATTCTTTATAGAATGCACCAAATGGCTAAGATGGCTAACATTATGAAATGAAACCAGCTAAAAAAAGCTGCATTAAAAGGCAGCATTGACCATAGCAGCGTAAGAAAAATTAAACAGCAGATCCATCGAAACGGGGGTATAGCATACCACCTAAGGGACACCTAAGGGATAGCAGGATGGCTCTTGAACCCATCCAACATATATTATAAAAGTAGTTGGCGCTTTCTGCAGGAGTAGTTGCTCAGTGCTTAAACCTTCCTAAAATTAGGTGAAAAGTTCGCGAAAGAACTAATAAGAATAAAAAAAACAAAGATCCTGTGGGACATCTCCATCCGAATATGCAAAAGAAACAGAAATGTGGAAAATGAAGGTCAAAACAATTCAGTGGTAACAGGAGAACTTGTGAGCTGTAAATTAGGAAAGGAGCTTCAAAGTTCTAGGAATATCGGGGACCTCTGGCCAAAAGAGCCCACTAGGAAGAGATAAGATTTTCGTAGGATCGGATCTACCCCCCTCAAGCTCCCAGGCCTCTGGTATTGGATTGAAGATGGCCATCCACTGGGAAGAGTGTGCGATTTATAGAAATATATTTTTACATTATTTATATGTATGTCCTCAAATATATCCTCAAATATGAGAGTGTAGCATACTATAATCATGGTAGCGTCACTTTGTTGCCTGAATTAATGAAGTCCAATGAGAAATTAGGACTATCTGATGATAAATGGGCTGGCTGAAAATGCACCAGGTATTGTGGGACCAAGGTAATCTGGCGTTAAAAGGCCTAGTAGAATAGACCTTAAATGAGCAAAAAAGTAATCTGGAAGTGATGGAATGCTATTGCAGCAATGAACCTCAGGAAAGCGTTATACGAAACGTATGAAGGAAAGAAAAAGGAAGGAAATGTATGTCGTAGGGAGAAAGATCTTTATCTACATTAATTGAGGAAGATCTACTGCATCCACATTTACTTGCTCAATGTTTCAATATAGAAAAAATGATGTTGCTCTTTCAATCGAATCAGTCGTGTAGTACATCGCAGATGCAAGATAACCCGAAAGAAGAGGAAAGGGATACCAAACAAACTGGGAAATCCCTTCCCAATATCTTCGTTGTAGTTCACATGGTGCAAAGAATCTTGAAGTATATAATCGAAGATACTAGAGTTCTCGCCACAATTCTTACTGGCAGAAACCAGTGAAGTGGTACACGTCATAGCCACTGCAATTCTGGAAATATTTGGAAATTAAGAATTGCGATGTCCTGGGAAAATGAGGATTGAAAATTAGATAAAGCACATCGTAGAGAAGTAATCAGAATTAAAGAAAGATATGAAGAGTAAGAATCCTAATACTGAAAAAACGCAAGGGATACGCTCCATCAGAAGCCCTAGACTGCTAAACAAGGGAATAGCACTAAATACCAGGCTAAGGAGATCGCTAGAGAAGCTAAAAAGATAAACCTCCTATTCTCGAGAAAACCATCAAAGGTATATACTCAATTGCAATGAAACAATATGGTAATAGCAGAACCACCAATATCAGGTGACAGCAGGTGCATATACTGAAATATAGTAAAAAATATATGGGAAAGAAAAAAGATTCATAGATTCAAAAAAGATTCATAGTAATACAATCCGGACTTAAAAAGATCCCAAGGCTGATAAATAAAACGTTCTAGCAAACTACGGCAAAAAACTCTCACGGCTCTCTGCAAGCGCTGCGAGGTGCTAGCAATAGCTGCGTGAAACATCAAAACGCTAATGGATTTTGCAAGCCAAGCGATCAGTTCACGCTCTTTCTAAATATCATGTGGACATCGCCTTCTTATCAAAAGTTCATCTTCACTTCGGGTAATCACTAATCGAGTAAGTACTAATCCTGGCTCCGAGCAAAGGAACTGATTATATCATTGTGGTATTTCGGATAACTCAGAGTGAAACCATAGTGATTATTATGTCCCATTCCGCTTTGATTGAGTGAAAATCGGTAAAAGATCGTCCGATCTATGCCACTTTAAAGGTAAATTCTGTTTATCTTGGTCATCAGTGTGCATACTTCAATTTTATCACCAGATGACCGTGATAAAGATAAGAAATACGGAATTTCAATTATTACTACGAAATCTCTACGGAAACATAGCATGGTCATAATTGGAGGAGACTGGTAGGCGCGCATAGGTCATGATGCCACTCGATGATAATTGGCAATTATGGCATTTGTTATGAAGTTTTATTAATTCAGAAAGAAAAATTAAAAATTTCTGAAAGACATGACTTGCGTACTCGTCGAAGGTTTCACGAATTAAAATTGGAATACACAGCTAGTAGTAGATTTTATTACTACCAGAATACCAATATAATAGAACAATGTGCAAAATAATATCAATTATTATAACGACTTGAAAGGTAAGATTACGAAGGACGTATTGTCGAAACTGACTGACTGTTCGACCGATTAACTGGCGGACATATTTACAAACTAACTAATCGTGACCCTTGGTCGCATTCCTAATCGTTTTTTAAAAAGACTATCTAATAAAAATAAAAGAGATTTTATTTATAATTAGACGTATAATTTCTTTACAAATTGACAATATTCTTACAATTACAAAGGAAATTTTCATACAAAAACACCGGATATATAGCTGATTTATGATTTTAAGCATGCAGAAACGCTTATTATTTTGGTTTTTCCGACAGCATTGGAGTGCGGTGCGCTAATGGGAAACGCCTTCACTTAGCTGAAAATTATTTGTTCCTAATACATGCTTCTGGCGTCATAGGAAAACGTCCAGTCCCGTGGATAGCCAACATTCCAACCAGATTGATCTTGTCAGTAAGATCTTTCAACTATCTCAAACTAAAAAATTCGGGGACAGAGCGCAATTCAAACCGCATTATTGAAGGACTTCAATAATATGAATATCAATGATTTTTCTGGATCGGCAAACGAATACTGGTCCCAACTAAAGATATGCTACTTAAAATTCAGCCACTTCCATACTAGCCACCTCCATACTTCCGTATATTAGCAAGAAATGCGATAGATGGGTGTCGGAAGCAATTGTCCAACTAAAGAAAAAGTTACCAAAGCTCAAAAGTTAGTAGATATCGGTGCTTTACATGATTACACGACAATAGGAAATTATTCCGTCTTCTTCACAGAGATGAAGTGGTAAGAGACAGCAGTGGTATGCCTTCTAAAAGGATCGCCTCATAAGATGGAAAGGATTTTTTGAAGCCAAATTTAACCACGATGAGCTCTCTTGTTTTGGATATGGCTGATTCGCTCATCGAAGCATACGTTTGCAAATATAAACCGCCAACAGAAGTAAAAATAATTTTTGATTTAGATTAAGTTAAGGTCAATGAAACTCCTGGAGAATATGGTCTCCAGGTTGAACTCTTCAAATGTCCATGGTCCATTTGTCCATCGTCCTTTACAATGAACAAATATACTTTCTGGTATGGAAGAAATAAATATTACCAGATGAATGGAACAGAGCAATTCTGTTTCCAATTTCCAAGAAAGTGGACAAGAAAGACATTTATCGAGGAATCAGCCTATTAGACATTTCAACGAAAATTTTTGCTTCCCTTTCACTCGATAGACTCATGGAAATATGAGACAGGACGATGGAGCCATAAGTTGATTTAGATGGGGGCGCGACTGTGCTAACCAGATATTCACGTTAAGAAGAATATTAGAACATCCTATATGGGGAGTGTATATGGGGAGTTGATAGATTCCTTCAAAATAAGGATTGGTCAAGATCCTTGCTCCTACAATATTCAACTTTTCGATAGAAGGAACAGTGAGCATCGCTTGTCGGCACTCAAGAGGTGTGCGAATCATCCGGAACATAGCATCACAGACCTTGAATGCGCTGCTGATGTGGTCTTTTTTGCTAACAGTTATAAGGAAATATAAATAATGTTAAACAATGTGTCATCAACTACAGCGATTGAGAGATCAATATCAGTTAAATAAAATGAAAGCCTTTTCGTCCTACACACAGGAAGCTGATAAAATACCTCTTTTTATTCATTGCCGGTTGAGAAAGTGTGCGACCTTATATACCTTAATTCCATTCTAAAACCGAATGGCCAGGCAAAAGGCGAAATTGCAAGCCGAATAACGGTAGGTAGAAATGCATTCTTCGTTTGAAATTTTTATGGAGTGGTCGTTTATAAAGCCACGATTCTCTCGATCTTGCTATATGGTTGCGAGATATGTCCAGTGAGGTGAAGGATATTAAGAAGTTATCTGCTTTTGACTACTCAAGTCTAAGATATAGTTTACAGGTTCAGCGAGTGGACAAAAACTCATATAGTAGCCTTCGTTCGAATAGCACTTGCATTAACAATACCATCACCGCCTTCGCTGATTAAGGCTCGTTCTTCGTCGCCCACCCACAAAAGTTAATATAATTCGTTTTTACTAAACCCTGTGACGATCAAAAGCGAGGTGAACCAGTCAAGAACTGGACTGATACAGCCAGGAATACTTAGACGATGGAAAAAGGAATGGCTTCTATATAAGTACCAGCGATGGCATCGGATCGAACAGCTTGGAAACATCCTTTTAGCCAGCGAAGATAGCCTAACCAGCAAAACTATGAGCTGTTAGAAGAATTATTGAGCCCAATAAGGGAATAAGTGAAAAAATATTTTAAAAATGACATTAATGACATTAATTAAAAATGGCATTAATTTGAATGCATAATTTTTAAGCAGATCAGCCGATACAAATAAGATTGCAAAGCTAACGCATGGACATGAACAAGAAATGCATCGATCTTGCTGATAATTAGGTAATTTGTTTCACCACTGTCTATTTGAACAAAATTAATCGAAAAAATATTTTCTCTAATGGAAATAATTACTGAAGTTATTTTAATTCACGTTCATTTGCATGTTGATTATTGTAAAATCTGTTAAAAAAAATCTGTTAAAATCTGCACGGTAGATTAACGAGTAATTTATTCGCATCGAAAGGCGATCTTAGTAGTGCCTAAATGGTTTCCAGAAATAGTTCCACTCAGTAAAAATAGATTGCATTTAAATTCGGATAAGTTCGACCCCTCCTCGCCTCACTTTTCTTCAGTAAAGTCCCCTTATATTTTAGATATTGGAGGTTTTGATCTTCGCTATCGGCGGATAATAGTGAAGAATGTTTTAATCATTCACAAAACATAAATTTTGAAACATTTCAGTTGGAACTTTCGAGGACCTGGGATCAGAGTTCCTCTGACAATGTGCATGTGTCCTCATTTTGTATTATCCGATTCGTTAAAATAGTACCAATAAGGAAAAAAAAGAAAAAGTTTGTAACTTAAGTTTTTTCCAGGAATTTTCAACAATATGAAAAGGATGCTTTAATTTATGATGCTTAAACTAGCAATATCCCACTTTAAAATAGGTTTGGAAGGCGCCCTCCCACTAGATTATTCCAAAAAGCGCCATCAAACATAGATGCAGCGATGCACCGAGAGCTCCACACCATTTCCACAAGAAATATATCCATCCATGAAGCTGAAAGGTATTGTATTAAATGTATGAAATATTAAACAAGCAAATGACTAAAATATTATTTTGAAATTTTTATTTTAAAATTAATAACAAATTTATGAAAAACAACTAGTGAACACAGGTAGACTATTTTTTGTAACATCATAATTTCCCAAATCCAGAATCCAGAAAAGATGGCTCATGAGAAAAGCCAGAGGGATGAAATCTTGTGTATGCCATTCGGCTATATTGCTATTCAGCTGCATCATCCATCGAATTAATATCATATTGTGCTGTCTTTGAGATAGTTTTATAGAACATTTATAAACTGTACCGTCTTATCTACGACCACTGCTTCAAATAAACCACTGGGTAAGAGACATAACAATGGTTAATGATAATTCTGCTGCTCTCGGCCGTTCGCATTGCCAGAAAAGTGTACAGGTGCGTGACAGCTTTGCAGCAACTGAACCAATGGTTCTCGAGACCATAAATTCAGCCACCCTCACTTAGCCATAAAATTTCATCCCACACAACCCATCTAAAATCCTCGAAGTGTTTTCTCATTTAATTTGAATGCAAGCCACATTGAAGGCTGAAAAGAAGGAACTCTATATTTCAGCTGACGTTGCGGGCGCGAATTGACCGTTGAATTTTATCAAACAGCCTCGGCTTTATCGAAATTGCAAGGCTAGCTAGCCGTTGAAATTTTTTTCACTTGGTGGTTCGTTGAATTGCTGAATATTTTGATTTGGAGTTCCATTTGATAATGACTTTAACATTCGTAATTATCATTAAGACGTCTTCGTTGGAACCGTAAATTGTGCACTCGGCTGTGCGACCCCTCATTCAATCGTAAAATATTTATGAATATTAGTGAGTCGCTTATTAGAATCGTGCGATGTACGCTTCTCAGCACGGAACTTCGACAACTTCAGCGGGCGTCAATATTGCCGTTGAAGCGAATTATGAGTGGCAAATACAGGAAATCGCCTTTGATGGAACAGAAAAATATTTAAAGTTTACCATTCTTTTAATCAAATTCGCTAAACTAACAATTTTAGTGGATTTAGTGGAGAAAGAAATTTTGATTGCCAAAAATTTGTCGATTTTTCAAATTTCATTATATTCATTAGAATTTGTTTATCTCTTCTTCACCGCGCTTATCGCCCTTAAATGCTTATTTCGAGGCCTCCATCGTATTTCGACCACGTTGCGAAGTTGGCGCGGAAGGTCGATTGGCGTGGACTGATTGGTGCCGACGCGACTTACGACAATCCGGATGCTCTTCCACGTTTTGCCAGCGATGAAGAAGAGTTCCACGAAGAAAAGGAAACTAAACCACAGTTGGAAGTCGAAGGCCGTAAAGGTTCCGATGCTGGTCCGTGGCACTCAGTCGCTAAAAATTTACAGTATGTTTTTTTCCAAAATATCATTCGCTTGTAAGAATTAAGTTATAAGTTTTTGTGTTTTATCCTTATAAAAGAGGTTAAAGAATATTTTTGCAGTGAAGCATTGCAGCAAATAAATGTTCTCGTCGATACAATGAGTGTCTTGAAAACGTCTTATCTCGAAGCGTTGACTGTCGCCGATACTTTCGAAATGCAACATAACATTCAAGATGTTATTCAACAGTCGAAACAATTTCAGTGGATCACAAAGCGTAAGGTAGATTTGTGGACTATGGCTATGTCATTTAAAACCAGTCGCAAAGAAAATTATCAGTAATCAAAGTGTAAAAATATATGTGTACATGCTTAGCGCCAGGTTTATGGAACTACGACAACCTGTCGTTGAAAGAATTGCTAGGAGATATTGTCGAACCAAGGCAATCTGAGTGGACTGGTTAAAAGGACTGCTAGAAGCAACCTTACTTGAATCTTACTTGAGTAAGATAAGATAAATAACCTACAAGTATTGGAATTCTACTGCAACAGTGGACCTAAGAAGGGGTTATATGAAATACGAGAGCTGAAAGAGGAATTGGCGATGTGGGACGTGAAGGCCAAAGTGAAGGCAAAGTAATCCCAGTAGTAATAAGAGCACTAGAGACTGTGAACTAAACTATAAAAGTAGCAAATCCTAGGTATGACAGCAGATATCTCTGTCCATAAAAGTGCATTACCAGGAACAGCTATGATACTGCGCAGAACCTCCAAGCTCCTAGGCCTTTGATAAAGGGCCTGAGGTTAAAATGACCCCCATCACACAGAGGGTGAGGAATGGATTTTTTTTTGCATAGATGGGAAATCCATTATTAACTTTTCAACTATTTTTTAATTTTAAGGCTTTAAATGAAGCCAGTGCTGTCTTGGAAAATTCGCTAAAGCATCGCGTTAAATTGAATAGTGAAATTGAATCAGAAAAAGAACTCTTTTTTCGAGAATTAAAGAAAATGCGAGAACATTGGAGAGTGCGTAAAACTGGCAATGTTGTTTTCGGTGATCTCGGATATAAAATATGTAATTTTTCCAGTTTTCGAATTTTATTATCTTCAGCTCCACTCCCTAAATTCGAATCTGGATTTTTTTGCCTTTAAATTACTTGGAAGGAAACAAATTTTAATTCAAATTTCAATTGCTTTGTAGATGCTCCAAAATATAATCCGAAAGAAATTTTTGAAATAACTAGGCGTTCTTCAACAAATGCTTCATGTTCTACACAATCAGAATCATCATTACAAGTCATAGTGCCATGTGATCTGGCTCGGCGTGCAACGATTTCTGTTTCAATTGAAATTGGTTTTTTTACATATGATTATTTTTTTTCTTTGAAGGGACTTACCATTTCTGGTAAAGCTTATGGTAGCGCATAAAACTTCAGCATCGGCTATCTAAAATAGAGGCAAAAACCCACTGAGCCATTCTACACTTGGCTGTTGAGATCATCCAATAATAATTTGCCATATTCTTCAGCTTCGTTGCAATGGCAAAACATCTTTTAAATTTCTTGATCTATTGTCATATTAGAAAATAGAAGCATCATTTTCAACGATTGAAATTTTGCCATCTATGCGTTTAAAATTAATTTCTCTCTTCTAATCTTTATTTCTATCTAATTCCCCCTCTTTGTTGAGGTCATCTCTAACGAAGTTCAGAAAGAAGCGAGATTTCTGAATGGCCGATAAGCGAGATGACAGACGGCGAAAAATATGGCTTAATATGACCATAAGAATAGATCAATGTAGATGACACTTTGTGGCGATATTATTATCGCACCTGGCATTCCAGTGAAAGTGGATTTTCAGCCGTAATATTCTATCAGCTTATCGGCCATTAAATTAGGTAAGATTGGTCAGTGGTAGATATTTTTGTGATATCTTCCACTCTTATTGCTCGTATTTCGCAATCTTAAGTGGAATTATGAGTATTGCAGCTAGAGGGATTATTCGGCCTTTTGTTTTGATATCGTTTTCATGGTGTTTCCAGGAGGATTTCGTAAATTAAAAGGGATTTCGGTATAAAGGTGGTTAAATGTTGTTTAAAATCTGTTACTTCCACATTTGATTATGAATTAATAATAATAAATATGAACATTTGGTGCAAAAGACCATATTTTTCGGCCTTATTTATATCGATCGTTCAGTGGATTTGTATTGATTTATGATAACTCGCACACTTCTTGAATATCTAAGAGCGACGTCCGTAATTTATAATTTTAAGAATGTAGCATTAACGTTCTCATTTCGAAGGGATATATCAATTCCCATATAAACTTGTATCGATATACCCTAATAATAAATGCCTTATGAGTCTCAGTCTTCTGAAACCAATCCATTTTATCACTCCCAGGGTGCCACTCTAATATTCGAATCGAACGACGAATCGATGGCCAAATCAATAAAACAAGTGGCGCAAATTGCCTGTATTTAAAGTTATGTTCCAATTTCCATATATTTGGCCAGTCGCCATATCATGCTGTCTTTAGTCTTTTGGGCGGATATGAGGCAAAAATTTTTCCAGACTGGCCATTTCCTCAATAATTATCATCAAATGTCCTATCAGCTTTTTTGAGAATAGGGAACAGAATTGCTTTTTTCTCTCATTTGTTATTGGTTCTTTTTTTCCATACCATTGAATATTTCGAACTCGATCTGCGAAAAATACTGGTACTAATAGGCCTTTACTATACCCATTGAGCAATATTTGAAGATTTCATCCAAGCCATCTTCTTTGGGAGTTTTATTGGGACCAAGCACCTGTAGAGAAAATTATTTCTTAGCGGCTTGCATTTATAATCATATGACTCAAATAGCGTTTTAGCCATGTTTGATGATAAATAATGCACTGTGGTTAACTTTAGTCTCAAGGAACTTTCCCTATCGTGAGAGATAGTTTTTTTTTAATTGGACAGGAATTTTCTTGCAATTAATTTTACTGGTTATAAGCCAGTACTAATATATAATGGTTAATTTATAAAGAAGACATAAAAGACATATTTTTAACTTACATAAAATATAACAGCTCCTTACCACTTTTATCCATATTTATGGTTATTTTATAATACCAATAGTGGAAAAAACGCTAAAACGCTATTTGAATCATATGACCATAAATGCAAGCCGCAAAGAAATAATTTTCTCTACGGGTGATTGGTCCTGATAAAACTCCCAAAGAAGGTGGCTTGGATGAAATCTTCTACCTCTGTTATTTTGCATCTTCCAATCGTCATATAGTCTGACATCTCTGTGATCTCTGTGATCTCTGGTGGCCTTTTGGGCGGTTGGCGATTGGTTCTTCTGATTTCCAGTTACTTCATTTCCCCTTTGAATGTGGGTATGGCGAAGGCCTATTAGTACCAGCATTGATCGACCGTTCTAGATGACATTTAGGTCATTTCGATAATTCGCTTCGAAATGCGCTTAAAGATAATTGAAACGTTATGGTGGACATAATTTTATGCGCGTTTTTTAAGCTTCATAAGGATCTTCATCGTTTACCCTAACATGATCCGTCAGCTATTCGTACGAACTGATGCCTTCATCAGTGACTGAGTTTTTTTTTAGTTATTTTTAGTTAATTCTTCAATAATTAATCTATTTGGAGTATCAATTATCAGATGAGTTGCATATTACTAGATGCTTTAAGAATATATACTTATGATATATACTTTGAATATATACTTTGTTACTTATGATCATATTGCATTTTGGAAGATACTGAAGTTATTCTACTATATCTTTATAAAGTAAGAATATGCGAGGCGACCGAGACTTCAGGGCTAATTGAAAAATGCATCACGATATGTTATATAATTAATAAATTAAATAATAAATATTTAAAGTTACAACAAACGAATTGATTAGTAATAACCAATGGAAAAAAAAAGATGAAAATGTATCAAAAGGTAAATATGTCTATTTGCTAAAATATTAATCGGTCCAATTTAATTGGCCCAAAAAATTGGTCAAATTTGGTTTTCCACTATTAATGTCACCATTTAAAGCAGCATTTCAACGAGTTCATTTTTATTTATCGGTTCTTATATTTGCTAATTTTATGTTTTTCAGCCATTGCATTTACATTCTTCCATATAGGAAGGCTTTTTATTTACTTGAATGATATATTTTTTGTAATAGTTAGAATTATCGTATAATTCAGATGATATGAATTCAAATGATCTTTTTTCTGTCGTTGATAATGATCTGGATTATATGAAAGTTGACCCGCTAAAAATTATGGAAGTTCCTTGGTCATCGGCATTATCATGGGCACAAGAAACACTTATATGTAGAGATATTTTTAGTCAAGTTCGTTTTTTTCTCTTTTTTCTTTTTTTACTGATTTCTCGTTCATTTTTCCTTTGATTTAAAATTTAACGTTTTTCAAAAGATTTTAGATAAATAAAAATTTAAATTTCGAGTTTTTTAATTAATAATCTTATTAATACTCTTATTTGATTTTTTGCAGTTAAGCGAAGATGCTATAATTTTGCAAGATCGAATTGCAGTTGTTCGTGATGGCGTTTTAATTGTTTCACTTTTTGATAACATTCTTTTAAAAGTTCAATTATCGTTTTACCCTTTCGAACGAGGTCCTTTGATAAATCATGGTGATGAATATTTAACTCGTACTTTACGCCAAATATTTTTAAATGACGTTTGCTATAAAGCTGTTAGGAACCAGACATTTGTGGCGATGCCACTTACGATGATACCTGATTCTTTTGACTTGCGTGGTCCTTTAGCATTTACTGATCAAGAAGTATGTTTATAGTATAATCATAAAATTTTAATTGTTACTTTTTTTGTCTGGTGTTATTGCTTATTGCTTACTTATTGTTTTACATATGTATAAATATGTATATTCTCAGATTCAGTCTCGTCTTCCGAAAAAGCGATTATTATTACAACGACTTATCGCTACTGCGGCTCATCAATTATTAGTTAATAAAGTGGTCAATACTTTAGAAAATTTACTTCTTCAAAAGGCTGATCCACAGGTAATTATTATTATTAGTTATATTAATTATATTAATTAATATATAAAAGTCAAGGAATTAAATGTGGTTTACTTCTTTATTAATTCAAAAATTCATGATTATATTTTTACTTAAAATGTGGGAGAATGAGGGTAAAGGACAATATTGTAATTGTTATTGACAATATTGGCAATAAAGTCTTATTATTATATTTTGCCAGTATTTTTTAAAAAATTTTGCATGAACTATTTTAGATCAGTTGGAAATGGTTGAGATGTGGAGCAATGCAGTCTTGTGCTGTAGTGTCAGCAGCAAATCGTAGCTATGATTATGCTGGAAAGTAAATTTTTTTGTTTTTGATTGCATAATATTAATGATATGGTTTATTACCAAATTTGAACGCAAATTTTTTAAAAGTTGTCGAGTTTGAAAATTTCAATTTTTAAGGTTCATCCAAATAATTTTTTTCACTAATCATTTTCACGCTAATCATTTTTTAATTTTTGCTTCCAGAACTACATTTTATATTCGAATTGATTCTGCTGATTTTTATGTTTCTACAAAGGAAGGTCAACGGATAGACTGCAAGAGAGATGAACGATTGCTTACTCATACTATTAATTATTTAGTTTATTTTTCATGCTTATTTCTATTGAAATTTTATATATTTATTCATATTTTTTTCGATCACATTCAAACCTTTAATTAATCTTTCAGATTTTATGTTCGATATACTTTTATTTCTAATATACTTACTTTTTAAATGAAAAATAAACTAATTAAATATTTCTTCATTTCATATCTTTAGATTTGTAATTATATGTTGAATACAGTGGCTATGATTGCCAGTAAATTATGGCAATGGCAAATCTTACATGCCAACATAAATGCTGTTGATGAAAATGGGGAAGCAAGTCCAACGATTTACCTTTGCAATCAAAATTCTACTTGGTATTATATAATTTCACCAGGTTCATTTTATATTGAACATTTGCAATGAAATATTTTTGCTTTCAGTGGAATATTCATTCAGTTCCACTTACAATTGCCACCAACTATTCGTGTTCGAAATAATTTGCGCGAGGAAGAGTTGTTAAATGTTAATCATGCTGATTTCATTGTTATTAATTATAATAAATTGGTTGGAACATCGTTATGTCGAAAAATTGATTATCTCTGTGAAATAATGAGGAATTGATTTTATATTTCTCATAACCTGAAATTATTGATTGAAATTTTAATTAAATAGTAAATTAGTAAACTTATTAATTCTTGTTTCTTTTACATTAAACTATTTTTTGGATGGGGTTTCAATTTGAGTATTGATATTTCCATAATTCCTCTTTTCTTGGATATTTACTGTTATTATTTATTATTTGTAACAGCTTTTCTGGGAAAAACTGTGGAAAAGATATAGAAAGAAGGAGTATTGTTCGACAGAATGAAAAAATTGCTCAATATCTCGTTCATTCCTTTTTTTTTCGGAGAGCTCCACTTCTTTCTTGTTTGAATCGCTCGGCTGACCATCAAGATGAGAAATTTTCACTAGTAAGTCAGGTATAAAATTATAGGCAGGTCCGCAGCAGCGCCGTAGGATCTGTCTTGATAGGTATAATCGTGTCAGTAACGGAAGTATCTGCCAGATCTACTCGAACTCGGATTTGATAACTATATATGTAAATACATCTCGTAATTTCGAAAATGATTGATATAATTTCTTTACATTGTTAATATTGGAACCAGTTGCTAATCATTTTCATTATTTGCAAATACGTATAAATAAAAATTTTTACGACGAGAATAGTAATGAACACGAATAACCCGAGAATGGCTATTTATTCTGCTCGCATGACATAATATACCATTATAGTGAGCAAAGCAAAAGTGGGAACAATGTAATGGTACTCGGTAATTATCTGTTTTGGGTTTATTTCGATGATTGCCATCTTTTGTTTTGTTAGTGGTTGTTGCTTTCTACTTCTTTATATCTATTAAGTCCGTAGAGATTGGTGTGGTCCAATAGTGTAGCGGTTATCACGTCTGCTTCACACGCAGAAGGCCGGCGGTTCGAACCCGCCTTGGACCAGCACCTTTGTTTTCGCTGGACGGAGCAGAATCATATGAAAGCTTTGAAGATCATATCTTGCAAAATATAATTTCGCAATAAATAATAATATAAATTAAATCACAACAAATTGCATTACAAAAGGATTTGTCAATTTCCTAACAAGGAAAGTTTTTGCGGTGAACCATCAGAAAAAATTTCGTTGAATGGTGAAACGTTTTATTGCATTAGTCTTTGCACCCAAAACTAATGCAATAAACGTCAAGAATGATTTAACATATCTTAACTGTTATCATCATTAATTTAATTTATAATTTCTGGTTCGAGTTCATAGTGGTCCAATGGTGTAGCGGTTATCACGTCTGCTTTACACGCAGAAGGTCGGCGGTTCGAACCCGCCTTGGATCACAGTTTTCGAATTTCAGTTTGTCAAACTTCATCAAAAATACTAAAACATTTGTGATAAAGCATGATTAAAGAATATTTCCATCTTCAATACAAACGTTTTTTCGAACGCAGTTTTTTAAAAGCTCAGTAGTGTGGCGATTAGACTCGTCTTTGCTGCGTTTAATAAAATGCTTTCACTATGAGCAGTTGGAAATCTCCATTCCTTTTTGCTAAATTATATACGATTTTAAGAAATAAATAATCGAAAAATAGTTGCATTAACCTCAGTTATCTCACTCAAGCAAAAGTTTTTGCGAATTAATATCTCAAATCTCGATTAAATTTGATTGAATTTGATTATTATTAAATATAGGAAAGATTTTTTGACAGTGTCAAGAATGCCTGGTGAATCAAAAGTCCGGGTTGCTGCTGGGAAGCCACCCGTATCTCTATCCCCAAGTGATTCTATGGTCAGGTCGTTTGACGTGAAGTCTTCCGGCGCGCATGGCACATCTGACGCGGTGGTACGTATATGATAAATATACGATCCGGGCATAATAATAATTAATAATAATAATATAATAATAAATAATAAACAAAGTGATTCCATGGCTTGAGTATGCTCCCGAATCGGAATAATTACTTAATCATAACCCTTCAAAGGAGAACCTATCCGCTAACACTTTATAAACGGCAAGGTGCTGGCTATAGCTGCTTGGAATATCAGAAAGCTTATGGATGTTGCAAGACAAGCGATCACTATCCACACCTTTTCTTAATATATGTGGCTTGTATCTCGGAGGTCCGTCTTCCTCATGTCAGTAATAACTAATCTTCATTCAGAGCAGAGATACTGACCATATCGCTGTGATGTTTCCGATAACCTGGGGCAAAATGGTGTAGTAATTGTCTGACAAGGCTCATTCCGCCTTTAAAGGTAATTTCTGCAATATCTCGGTCATCAGTGTGTATGCTCGAACTTTATTTGCAGATAATCGTGATAAAGATAAGTTCTATGGAGAACTTCAATTGCTAACAAAGTCTCTACAGAAAGCGACTTGATCATAATCAGAGGAGACTGGAATGCGCAAGTAGATTATGATGCCGTTACAATGAATTCGGTAATTGGCAAAAATGGCATTGAGGTCCAGTGCGCCAATGGAAAACGCCTTCTTCGCTTTGCCGAAGAGCATGAATTCTTTGTTAATATATACTTTGGCATCGGAGAAAAGATCTAGTCACGTGGAGCTCTCCGGACAACCAATATTCCAATCAGGTTGAATATATATTGGTCAGTCATCGCTGGAAGAGTTCTGTATTTGATAGTCGTTCTTATCTGGGCGCTGAAACTAATAACCGTCATGGATTAGGTCATGTTATGGTTCGAGCCGAGATTCGTATAAAATTGACAACTCGTAAGTATACCCCAAGATCGTTTAACTATCTCAAATTAAAAGATCCGGGAACGATAAGCACATTTCAAACCGCATTATTGAAATATCATAGTGAAATGAACATTAATGACATCTTTGGATAGGCAAATGAATACTGGTCCTAACTAGACATGCGTACAAAAGTCAGCCATTTCCACACTAGGATATGCTAGTAGGAAATGCGCTAGTTAGTTTGGTGTCGGAAGCAATTATCCAACTGTCTAAAAAAACTACCAAAGCTCGAATGTCAGGAGACCTTAATGATAGTAGCACGGCTGGACAGAAGACGGCGGCTTGATTTATAGGAAACTGTTTCGCCTTCTTTGCAAAGCAACTATAAATCGAGAAACGGCTAGTAAAATACGGTACATTAATGAGGCGCCTGTTAAGGCTGTTAAGGATCGCATTATAAGATGGAAAAAACGCGCCATCTGTTGTCCCAGATAGATAACTCGCTCGTCGAGCCATACGTTTGCAATCGAATCGGAAAAGGAAATAATCTTTGTAATCCATAAGGTTAAGGCTAATAAAACTCCCGGAGATGGCCTTTGGGCCGAACTCTTCAAATGTTGCCCATCATCGTTCATAATTCAACTTCAACAAATGTAATCTCTGGTATGGCAAAAAGAAATAATACCGGAAGATTGGAGCAAAGCAATTCTACTTCCAATTCCTAAAAAATATAACACACTGCGACAATTACCGAGCAATCAGCCTACTGGACATTTCCAGAAAAATTTTCGATTACCTTCTGCTAAATAGATTCACGGTAACACAGGATGGCAGAATGCGTCCTAATTAAGCTGTATTCAGACCCGATTGTGCTGACCAGATATTTACGCTAAGAATGGTGCTAGAACATCGCTATAAATAACCAGCAATACACCTTCACTTGCTTTATTGATTTGCGGCCATTTTCAATTCGCTTGATAGAGCATCCCATATATACATCTCTCTGGGAAGTGATAAGAATGTGAAGATCATTCGACTCATAAATGCATTTTATCAGCATATCTTGACGTAAATCTGTATATATGGGAACTGGCAGACTTCTTGAAATAAAAACTGGTGTCGGAAAGGGCTGCGTCCTTTCCCTTTACATTATACAATTATGCGATAGACTGGATAGTGGGCATCGTTTATCAGCACTCAAGAGGTGCAAATCAGTCCATCATAGACCATCAGTCCATCCAGTGTATAGCATCATAGACCTTGAATGCGCTACTGATGTGGTCTTTTTTGCTGACAATCATAGGGAAATGCAAATAATAAACAATGTGTTAACAACTGCAGCAAGAATTGGACTCAAAATCAATGTAAATAAAACGAAAATATTTTCGTTTAATATGCAAGATGCTGATAAAATACATATTTTTATCAATTCATTGCCAGTTGAGGAAGTGCTTGACTTTAAATACTTCCGATCAATTCTAATCCCAAAGGGAAAAGATGAAAGATGAAATTGTAACTCAGATAACGACAGCTAGAAATATGTTAAATAGAGGAGGGCTGGCCAAGATTTGGACTGATAGAATCAGAAAAGATTTTGAATGTATATGGGGACCAGCGATACATCAACTTAGACGATGGGAAAAGGAATGGCCTCTATTACTATCGAGCATTCTTTCCTTTTCCAAGAAAATGTATTAAACAAGCGATTCAAACCTAATATAAACATAACCTAAACATAAACATATTTTCTAGAACTTTTACAGTTTAAATTTTTCAAGTATTTTATATACAACAACTATTTTACATCATTTACCTTTTTTATCTATGTGAATTTTTGAATTTCAGGATTAGAATTATGCAAAGCTTTCAATATTTTACTTGGAACATCTATAGATAGAAAAATTTTTGCGTAGAAACCTATCCAAACCTTTCAATATGAGAAAATAAAAAGTTTCAATTCCGTAATATTCCAGTCTTTCATTGATCATTAATAGTTCTAATTTTATTCCATTATTTTTTCCCTCTTTTGCTTTCGCTTTTCCCCATTTCAGCTGTGATTCCACTAACCATTAAAGATAAATTTGGTTTACGGAACATTAAATGGAGAATAAAAGATGAAATCTGCAATGAAAATCACATAAAAACTTTTTATGATACCATATAGGATAATTAACAAAACAATTTCACATTTCCTCAAAATAATTAGGGACACTTTTTCTCAACAAGCGTTTTGCCACAGTCATCATATTCAGCACGACTAACCCACATTTGTTGGAATGTCCCCTGAAAAAATTAATTGGTCAAAAATAAATTTAAAATGAATTTTCTTAATATATTAGTATAATGAAAGAACGCTTATGAAATGCTGCATTATGGAAATGAAATCAAAAATTAATCATTAATCATTCTCTAAAATATCATAACCTCGGATGCGCCGAGCAGATATAATCGCACATGATTGTATCCATCCTAGCTCATGTACCACCTGCATTAATAATGTTATCATAGAACGTCGCCTTCGCTGGTTAGGGCATGTTCTCCGTCGTCCACCACAGGACGCATTTCGTTACTTGCTAAACCCTGTGATGGTTGGCGTCAAAAGCGAGGAGGATCAGTAAAAATTTGGACTGATAAAGGGAGACTAGCGATTTATGGACTTAAACCATGAATGGCCTCTATTACTATTAGCGATGATGTCGGATTCAGGCAGCTTGGAGACATCTTACTCTTGTAGCCAGCGAAGCTAGCCTAATCAGCAATGGTGAGAGCTGTTAGAAGAAGACATCACAATCTCACTTCCCAATTTTAGTAATTTTGAGTTTTTTTTGAATTTAAATTTACATTATATACCAAGGACGCGAGAATGGAACCTCCGATCCAAGCACCGAATCTCCGTTCCATTGGTGTAGGTGCAGCATTGACTCGTAATTTTATTGTCTGGAATAAAATATACAATACGAAACATTACTGATCTTGAGAAAGGTATACTCATTCAAAATAATGGATTTGATTTTGACATTTGAGAAGACTTTTCATAGAAACAGAAATGAGGAAAATTGAAAAAAATTTTTTGTAAAATAGTAGTAAATAATGGTAGAATACTGAATGTTGTTTTACGGAAATGAGTTTAATATTAATCACTTTTCAAAGCATTAATAAAAATATAAACCTTATTTCTTAATTTTAGCAACTGATTGAAAAAAAATCAAAAACTTACTGGTGGACATTTTAGAGCAAGATCGTGATTAAGCCGTTCAGTAAAGCCCATTATTAATGAATTACCACCAGTTACCATTAAGCTGCTATACAAAGTCTAAAAATAAAGTCAATTTGGTCATATACTTTTAATAAAAAGAAAAAAAATTAAATTTAACAAGAATTCGAATTTTTGTTATATTGGTTATCCAATTGATGAACTATGTAGGATCAAATGTAATTTGTGGTACTTTTTTTGAATTAAGCAAAAGATGAATGATTTACTAATTAATTACTTTCATTAATCGATCTGATCGCTAGAATAAAAGATAAAAAATAACAATTTAAGTAAAGGTTACTCAACAAAATTATTAAAAATAATAAATGAATATTAATAAATATAAAGCAAAATATTAAAAAATAAATAAATTAAATAAAAAATTGTGAAAAAAGAAATACATATTTAAGCATGGAAATGTATTTTCTCGCGAAAAGTTTAAAAAGTTTTGAAGTTTCACTCAAGAAGACCATGATAATTTGACGTATAAAAAAACTAATGAACTGAGGAAATCCTAATATTGATTCAATGCTGCAATAAAAAAAAACTAACCGGACGAATATCAATATCACACATTCCACAACTCGTAGCTGCAATTTGCGAGACAGACATTAAAATTGATTTATCTATTCCCTGAAATCCAAGAAATTAATGAAAAAATTAAAATTCTAAAATTTTTAAAATTTTACTTATTTTCTTTCTAGAAATGGGGAGACTGCGCTGTACGAGTGATTGATGATTGATTATTAATACTTACAATATAATTTTTTGCTTATATTACCTTCAAATAATTTAAATCGAATAATCCTTCGGGTATTTTCACTCTTTCCGCTTGAAATTCTTTCATGAAACCACATGGAAAACAGAATGGCGAGGATGGCAATTTTTCGGCAAATCTTAATGCATATTTATTTAAAAAAAAAAAAAAATCAAAGTATGAACAATAATATAAATAAAAGATAAACAATTTTGCCTCACTCGACATCAATTGGAGTATCACATACTTGCAAAACTGAACTCGCTAAATCTTCCAATACTTGCTGAAAAAAGCTGTTGCAAAAAAATAATTTATATTATCAACTATTCTAGATAATAAATAGTAGTAACAAAAAAATCTTTCAAAACGTTGCCAAAACGACAAAATTGATATCAAGGAACACCATTATGGTTTCTAAAAACCTAACAAATGAATTATAAGTGAAGAAATATAAAAATTGCTTGCTTTCATATATGATTTTTTCTTTAAAAAAACCTATACTTTACGCATATAATCATCGAAACTCCTCTTTACATTTGGCAGACCTTTTTTCATTGTCCATATTGGAGCTTCGTTCTCACTTACAGCTTCCTGAAAAAAGCCACATGTGAGCAAAAAAAACTATGCTTATGAAAAAAATCAATTCCTCTTCCAAAAAAAAAAAGAAATTGGTTGGGCAGATTTCCAGAAATAAAAATTATGTTCTTAAAACAAATTCTACACACTTTAGTTGCTATTTTATACGCGGGAATAATTTCAATCTGTTGTTCTTCACACATTAATCGACATTGTTCAACGATTAAATCACCTCCGATCGGAGCACGAACAACAGCTGTAAATAAACTGTTAGATGTGTTTAAAATATGGCTAATAAGATGAAGAAAATCTTAAAACTACAATGAGAATGAATACATTTGAATACCATGAGTTAAGCAATATCCATCAAATATTGGAACAGCAGAAGTTTGTGACGATCCACTGTCGAGAACCAAACCCGAAGTTCGCCCGTTGGCATATCTACCATGCAATAAAAGAAATAGAAATAAGAAAATAAAAAAAGTTTTCAACGCAAAAGAAATTGAGATAAACTTTCCACGTGGAATGGAAACCTAAAAGTTAAGGACCACTGAATTAATAATGGAAATCAAAAATTTTATTAATGTGAAGAGCATTATTGAAGAGAGAAAAACAAGAACCAACGATGCAAGAACAGCGTTTTTAACAAGATAAAAAGCTGGAACATTATATTTTTCGAACATGAGTTCCATCAACCGCTCACGATTACTTTTTGCATTCCACTGAAAAAATATGCAAAAATATTATACAAAAAATATCATGTAATGAAAAATAAAGGCAAAGAAAATTCACTAAAAATTTGCGGAAAAAAAGTATATGAAACGGTTTAAAAAAAAAATTTATCATTAATTTAATTTATAATATCAATATAAACGGACCAGTAAATTTAAGAAAAATCCAAAAAGTTTAAAAAGGGTGCATATATATTACGAAAAAAAAACCCCTATTAAAATCCTATCTAACTTGATACAAAAATCATTTGTATAAATACTATATTTGAATAATATCAAAAAAAAAGAAAAGAACAGTAAAAATAAAAAAAATAAACCGGGGCTTCAGTGAACAAAACTGGCTGGTAAATGCTTTCAGCATAAAAGATTTGTTTATATGAATAATCAATCATTTGTTCAAAAATATCCCAATTATCGACTAAAAAAAGGTATAGATTACAAAAAACCTTAAAATATAATTCTGAATGGATTTTTTCATCACAGCTTTATTTGCAGAATTTCTTGATTTTCAACAATTGAATATCGAATAAACAAACTAAAAAGTATCCTAAAAAATAATCAATTTACGATTAAAAATTAAGAGGAAATATATTTTTACAGTATAATGAAAGTTGATATAATAATAACAATATAACATATATAATAAAAATATAATAACATGTATAATAAAAGAATTGCGGAAAATTAACAAAAATTTTAAAAACCTATTCAAATTGGTCGAATCGAATTAAAAAACGATTACATTAAACAAAGAAATTTTGAAATATCGTAAATGAACAACTTACTCTGCCCATCTTTCATGAATGTTTCAATAGTAGTGTTTTCTCTAGGTACTCCTAACACCGTACTGCCAATATGATATTTTTTGCGCTTTTGAGATTTCTGATCTTGATCAATGGTATTATCGACTTCATCCAGAACTTCTTGAATACCCAAATGACTTGGTATATCTCCCTTCAATTTTTAAATATCATTCAAAATATTTGAACACAAAAAGCACTCCAGAAAATTTAGCAAGTATCTAAATAATTTCAAAAAAAAATTCCTAATTTGATTACATAGAAAGAAAATGAAATGAATGAATCGCCAAAATAAATAAAGTTCTAAATGGGGCAAAAAGAATTAATATATTTTCAAAAATATTTCAAAGCGCAGCGACAAAGTACAACAAATTTGATAAAACAATCACACCTTTGGAAATTCTTCACCAGCGAAACCAATGCGAAAAGAATGCGAACCAGGATCAAATACGAGAGCACCGACTTCATCTAAAGAGTCAAGAATTTCTATATAAGGAAGGTAACTTTTTACTTTACATTTTTTATGGCCGTATACAAATCATATAACAAAAAGAAAGAAAAAGATAAGTACCTCCTCCATATACGCCACCACTCATTCTTTCTTTTACCTGGCGATAATTGACAAAAACCCTGAAATTATAAGGAATCTGAAGCAATGAAGTTTGATTCGCCCAGAAATTTGAATGAAACAAATCAAAATTATAAAATTTTATAGATTACTTCATCTATTCTTTTTTTTCCTAAATTTCATTCGCCAAATTTTGACAGGAAGTCGTTTGGCAGCACCTCAAGGTTTTTGAAAGTCAAATTTACTCATGACCGGAACAGAATCTATTCTGGTTGGCGGCTAGTCACATAAATAGTTTTTAAAATGCAATGCCATAACAATGACATCGAAATTGCTATAATGCTTTACTAATTATTTATCATTTTCCCAAATAAAATTGCTGCTTTTGCTGATATCACGCAGAATTATGAAAATATAAGATTTTTCGTGGATTTAGTTTTTCTATAAGAGATCTGACAGAAGTGAAACGCACGTGTTACAGGCTTATTTCAACTGAATAAATAAAAATACCCAGTGTTTTAAAAGTCTTTTGCTATCAATAAGTGAAGGATAGGATAGGCGAGTCTACAGCAACTTATATTATATTATCATACAGACAGGCTGGGATTCGTGCCTTGTCCACGATACGACATTAAAATTCCAGACCATGCTGACGACCCATTTGTGATTCTATCGCCAAGTGACTCTATAACAAAAAACCGCAGTAAGCCAATGGAGCAAGCCTAACCCGAAATGATGAATGTTAACCACATTATTCATTTAATTAGAGATTTTTTTCTCCTTCTCATTTTTCTAACAGCACACATCGTTCTTCATTTAGCAGGTCCAATTTTAAGATGGTAGAGAATCGTTTATGAATAGACATATGTCTTAGGTCTTAGGATAGAATGGCTCAGTGGGTTGTTAACCAGTAATGGTGAGACCTCTTAAAAAAAAAGATACGTCCTGTAACCATGCGGAATTTACCTTCAATGACAGGTTTCTCGCCGCTAAGGATGAGGAATCAAAGCTCTGGCATTTGACCTCACCATATCACTCAACCGACCTGTCCCTCAATTTATTGAAAAATGAGAAGCCTGACTGTAAAAAAAAAAAAACAGAAAAATTGGACAAAATGAAAAAAATTTAAAAACAAATAAAAATTTGAATAATACGTTTCAAGATTGATGAAGTAGGTTGCAGCTTAATATTTAGCCTTTAGATTCTTCAGCGATTGCAGTTTTGGTTGGTTTTATCTAAAGCAATGAATGACAGTGGATGCAGCTTGGAACTTGTCTCCAACAGATGAAAATCTCTTGCCGGATGCGCAAGCTGGTGTGTACATATAACTACAAATGTCTCTCAGACAAAAATTTTTCACTATAGCCATTGCAGTAAGCTTAACCAGAAATGGTGAGACTTGTTCTACTGGCTATGTTTCCAGAGTAATACATTTCCAAGCCGCCTGATCCGATGCCATCTCTGACAATAACAATTTCCCATCGTCTAAACCCTTATATCACTGGTCCATACGTTTAAAATCTTTCCTGACTGTACCAATCTAGGTCATGGTTGGCCTCCTAGCTTTTGATGCTATCCATCAAAAGATTTCGCAAATAATGAAATATGTCTCAACTCCTGTAGTGTGCGATAAAGAACATGCCACAAGGAAAGGGGAAGGCGATGCGTGATGGTACTATTGGTACTATTAATGGAGACAATCGAAGATGGATGCAACATGGATTTTACCGCTCGGTGAGCGAGTATCTTATATGTATTTTAGATTCGAGTGGTTGAAGGTATATAACTTTTTAATTTCTTCCACTCTCATTGGCGTATAACCTAGCGAACCGAGCAAAGTGCAACTCGACACGGACTTTTGCTCTAATGATGATGATTTTGCGACTCCATAAATGTTTTCTCAAAGGTTTTCAAAAGAATGCATTCCCAGCCACCGTTATTCGGGTTTTTCGTCTTTTGCCTGGCCATTTGAGAGATTAGAGTGGATCCAAGATATTTAAAGTTTGGCACTTTCTTAGCCGGTGATGAAATGACAAAAAACGGATATCAACTTCTGGCATATAAGACGAAAAAACCGTTTTATTTGCATTGATCCTGAATTTAATTTGCTGTAGTTGTCGACACATTGTCTAGCATTATTTGTATTTTATCATAAATGTAAGCAAAAAGGACCACATATCAGCGTATTCAAGGTCTGTGATGCTATGCTCTGCACTAATTTGAGCACCTCTTGAATGCCGAAAAACGACGTCCATTATCTGTCTAATGAATCGGATAGCTGAATATTGCAGAGGAAAGAGTGTAGCCTTGACGGACGCCAGTTTCTATTTCGAAAGGGTTTGTCAGTCCTCCATATGGACAGACCTGTGCCGATGAGTATATTACCAAATATTCCGCAGTGAAGAAGAAAGAACCTTGTATTCTGAGGACAAATTTACTCGAGATGTCATTCGAGGAGAGAAAAAACCATGCCACAAGAGATACAACCTGTTGAAGATATTTTAGAGAAACTAACAATGCAACAGAGATTCACCAACATGGCAAACAGAACTTTTAAAACCAAAAGTGTTCAAGATAAGGTTGGACAACAAATATTTTATTTCGCTCGTCTTAACTAATAAAACAACCCGTGCATTTTAACGATTTAAGGATCTGACTCTTCAACAAACTATAGAGGATTAAATGAGTATAATGGGGGAGGGGGGCATTTTGATGATGGAATGTAAGAGTGATAACGAATCTAAAAAAGGTCGACTGAAGGGATGCTAGGGGATTAAAATAAAACGCGCTCCGCTCGACAAAGACAAAGATTATGGAATTTGTGTTTATTTTTATTTTTTTTATTTTTCTTATTTCTCTTATTTTGATACATAAAGTCACTGCAGCTTTTCTCTTCATTCTCCGCAGGATTTATCCCTCTTATTACCCTCCACCACTTCCATCTACCCGTCATTACCCATTGTCCGGATTTGCCCATCACTGTTGATACTTTCCCTCTCGTATAACATTATTGATTTATCGAATAAACGGTAGGAGAATGCGCGTAATTAGAGATTGGCAATTTGCCATTTTCGGTTTACGTCATTTGCCTTGGTTCTATGGATTCGATGACCGTTCGTGTGAAGGTCAGTCGCCTTCAAAGGTCAACTGGTCATTTAATTAATAAAAGGGAGGGTTTTTATTTTCTTAGATCGTTTATATGAATTTTTTTATATTTCATTTCTTCTCGTTTATTTTTTTCAGTAAAAATGAAATAACGAATGTATAAACATAAAAAAAATACCCTCTACGAATGCAAAAATAAGATAAGATTGAGGGATCTGCGTTGAACACGGAAATGTGCCGGCACATTTATTACCGAGAAATAAATTTTGTAATGGCATAACGTGATGTGTTCTTCTTCTATCACTTCTCACCATCACTGGTTAACTTGGCTTCGCTGGCTTGGGTAAGACGTTTCCAAGCTGATCATTTCGCTAAGAGTAATAGAAGCCATTCCTTCTTCCATCGTCTCAGTCCATATATCGCTGATCCACCTATGCGTTCAAAATCTTCGCTGACTGTATCAGTCGAGGTTTTGATTGGCCCTCCTCGTCTTTGATGCCACCCATCATGGGGTTTAACAAGTAACGAAATATGCATCAACTGTTATGATGAGCGATCGACGAAGAATATATAGGAAAGGCGACGGTTGTGATGATAACATTAATGCAGATGGTATTTGAGCAAAGGCTGATGCAATCATGAAACCTTATTCGTTCGGGAAGCCACAAAAAATATATCTTAGACATGGGTAGTGAAAGGTAGATAATACCTTAGGTAACATTCGCACTGGCACTGTCTCGCCGCCATATCTTCTTGTATATAAGACGAAAAGATTCTTGTTTTATTTTCGCTAACCCTGAGTCCGATTCTCCCTTCATTTGTTGACACGTTTAGCATTATAGCAATAGCATTTCGTCATAACTGCTCGCAAAAAGGACTGTGTCACCAGTGCATTCAAAACCTGCGATCCTATGGATTGTTTCATACATTTCTTGACTGCCGACAAGAAATATCCATTATTCAGTCTATGGCATGTTTGAGAGGAATCAACGCGACTGCATCATGATTTTAAATTTTCTCGCGGATATAGTTGGCTTATTCCTCGATAATTATCACAATATGTCGTGATGTCTTTCTTAGAAATTGGGAGCGGAATTGCTTTCTTGTAATAATCTTGTAGTATTTCCTTCTTCCATACAAAAGAACACTTGTTGAAGGTGTGATGTGGCGGACATTATTTGAAGAATTCATTATTTCACTGACCATTCCCCATGTTATAATTATTTTGTGAAGAAGGAATAGCTTCCTATTATTTCGCCTTATCAAACTGCCATCTCAATTCTCAAGACCATATCACTCCAGTGGCGATTTCTACCTCGTCGTGCTGTGTCCTCACGACATTCGTGCTTTGGATGATTGGAAAGTTGCTTCCGATACTCAGCCAACACATTCCCTTCTAATATATCTAATATTTTTTTTAAGAACTTTCACCATTACTGGTTAAACTCGCTCCGCTGGCTTGTCACACTGGATAAATATGCCAAGGAGTTCCTTGGCGATAGAAATACAGGTAACTCGTCAGCATCACCTGGATTTTTGGACAGGTTTACTCCTGCGGGGAACAGAACCCTTAGTATCGGCGCTCCAAATTGAGCAATACCCACTAAGCCATCCTATCCCTATATTCTAATATGGAAGTAGCTGATTTTCGTATTATTTAGTTTGGAATAGGCCGTCAGCCGTTTCATCAGCCGTTCTGGAAAAATCGTGGACATTTATAGCATATTGAGGTGCTTCAATAAGTTGATTTGGAATGTGCTTTCTGTCCCCGATTTCTACTTTCTACTTTGAAATAATTAGAAGATCTTGGGAGATGTTGTTTCTTAGGAAGTCAGTTTTATTCGAATCTTGGCTCGAACCATTACATAGAAAGTAGAAAGCTTCAGATCCATAAAGGTTTCCCTTTTCAGCAGCAATAGGACTATCTAGTACGGAACTCTTCTAACGTCAACTGACTGGGATATAATCGATTATCATGATATGTCGTCTATGTATTGTCCACTTCAGGTATAGTGGTTCAATTTCTTATCAGAAATTTATCATTAAAGAATGTAAATTGTTGTGTATATATCTATATTTATCTATATATTTATCTTCCGTTTTTTTTCTCATCTATCACCATTTCTAATTCACTCTTTCTAGCTCAAATGATTTGTCTTACCAGGCCAGGAAGTGATATGATACTGACTGTCTAGAAAACAAAGTAGATTAGATCTCACTTAAATTGGTGAATGGGACCGCACTATTGTACAATTGGGCCGCAAATTCTGCATTTTCGTTTTAATAGCTGAATTTAACCGCGCTTTAGTTGGTCCATTGTGTTCATTAATTAATTTTCTTAAATTTCTTTCGTTTATTTGAGCAGTTTTGTGCGATTGGTTTCTTCAGTTTTTTTATTTTTATTTTAACGAACAAATTTGGCGAAAGTTTTTTCAAAATATTTCGAAACTTTATTGAATACGTATTTAATGAGGTTAATGACAGCATTAGATGCATTATTTTTTGTTTCTTCACCGATGCTTAATCGATTTCCTTTTTAATGTTATTTTGGGCACTCTCTAAGATCCATTTCCAGAGGAAAATGGCTGGTGGTAAAGGAAAAGCTGGAAAGGATTCTGGAAAGTCATCCAAAGGCAAAGTGATTTCACGTAGCGCTCGTTCAGGATTGCAGTTTCCTGTTGGTCGAATTCATCGATTTCTTAAGCAGAGGTTTTAAATTCTTTTCTAATTTTATATTTTTTTAATTTTCTTCCTTTATTTTTTAGACCTTTCTGTTATAAATTTTTTGAAATAAAGATAGGAATATATGGTCTTTTCCTTTCTTGGTTTTTTCTAATTTCTTTTTTATTTATTATTCAAGTTTTATTTACTTATATGAGTGAATTTCGTGAAATTTTCGATGGTTATACCTGCATTTATCATTCTATATCTGCATTTATTTTTGCTTAAATAATCGTTTTATTTTTCATTGTCATTTTATTATTTCGTCCTTTTCTTTCTTTAGGACTACTTCACATGGTCGTGTTGGAGCAACAGCAGCGGTTTACAGTGCGGCAATCTTGGAATATTTGACAGCTGAAGTCCTCGAATTGGCTGGGAATGCCTCTAAGGATTTGAAGGTGAAAAGGATCACTCCAAGACATCTTCATCTTGCAATTCGCGGAGATGAGGAACTGGATACGCTAATTAAGGCGACGATTGCTGGTGGAGGTAATCTGTTATTGATTAATCTGTTACTGTTATTTATTATTTAATTTATTGTTATTTAATTTTTTCCAGTCTTTGCGTTTTTTGATAATAAGATTATATTAATATTCTAAACAATGTGCCAAAAATTGCAACGAGAATCGGACTTAAGATCAGTGTAAATAAAACGAACATCTTATATACAAGAAGCTGATAAAATATCCATCTTGAGGAAGTGTCTGATTTTAAATATCTTGAATCCACTTTAATCCTAAATAGACAGCAAAAGATGAAGTTACCATCCGGTAGCTAGAAATGCATTCTTCCGATTGACGGAATTTTTATGGAGGCACCGTAAAAGCAAAATTCGCTTCCATATAAGTGCACTTCATTGCAATTTTATTAGAGATGTCGGAGAGATTGGAGGATATTATAAAATTATCCATTTTTGATCACCTATATCTGAGACATTTTAGGGCTTTGTCGAATAAATAAAATCTCACATGGCTACATCCATCTTCTTCAATTTCGGATATCATTTTGCATTAATAGTACTGTCATAGAGCGTTATCTGGTTTAGGGCGAATTCTTCATTCTACACCGCAGCAATATTTTTACTTGTTTAATACCGATAGATAGATGGCGAATTAAAAGCGAGGAGCGCCAATCAAGACCTGGAATCATACAAACAGGAAAGATTTTTAATATATAGGTGGACCTGCGGTATGTGGACTTAGACATTGAAAAAAGGAATGGCTTCAATTATTGTCACAGATGGCATCGAATCGAACTTAGAAATTCTTACATCTCTTTAGCCAGGCGGAGCCAGCCTAACCATTAATGGGTATTGGAAGAAGAAGATGATTATATTTATTAATTTCAAAGATGAAAGAACGTGGCGATGTTTTGAAATATTGATGGAATGCAATCTGCAGTTTTATATAGTTGTAGTTGCTAATTATTTTTTAAGTTATAAGGTAAGGGAAGGAATAAATATTCATAGTTATTTGTCCTTTATTGTTCTTTATATTTATTTTTTCTTCCCTTCGGTTCTTAATATTGTTTTCATTATTTAGCAAGGGGGATTAAAATTGGTATAATTTATAGTTTATTTACGATATTTCGATTTTTTGATGTATTGGGAGTGCTTGGACCTGTTGTCATGGTGATTATGGAATTATGGCTTGCAAAAATCGTTTATTATTATTTTCTTATTTTATTTGCGACATTTTTATATATGATGTATATTTCTATCTTAATCTTGAGTGCATTTTTAAGGTGAGAAACGCTATATTGGTAATTATTTTTCAAAAAAGTAAATAATTTGCAGGTGTTATACCACATATTCATCGTTATTTAATGAGCAAGAAAGGTCAACCTGCACCAACTCAAAAACCGCAAAATCCTTGAAAACTTGAAAGAGGAAAAGAGCCGAAAAGAAATATTCATTTTTTTAGTCCATTTTTTTCATTATTCATTTTTTTGAATCGTTTTTTTTGCGTATGCTTTGTTTGTTTTATCTTGTCAAAATTATTGAATACTTTTTTTTATATCTCCATTATCTTCTTGATTCTTTTTTCATATAGTTAATTCATTTGTTCAAAGATGGCTTTTTTGTCTTTATTTTTACTATTTTTCTTTTTGTATAATCGAGGTTTTATTTTCAGTACTTCGATTTAAAAATGCTTGATTAATTTCATTCGATTTTCGTTTCATTTTTTGTGAGTGGTTTCATTATTGATTCACTGTTTCAAAGCCTGGTCCAATAAACTATACCAGATCTCGTGCTTTTATTTCTTATTATTGTGAACTCTGTTTTCTAATATTTCTTGGGACTTGAGGTCTTAAATGGAAATCAGGTGAGTTTGTTCCACGTTTTCTAAAACTGCAGTGCTTCTTAAATCATTCATTGAAACATTATCAACCACTCAAACGTCATTGCTTATTCATATCATTTGAAATCCAAAGTTAAGATATTGTTTTCTTTTGCTTGTGAAATAGGCAAATAAAAATGCATGGCTCTTACTGTACTCGGGAATGCTGCATAAGCTGTGCGTTGTTTCGCTTTAGACCAAAGTAAACATTGGCTCAGTTCCCTTGTTTAAAGTTAACCTATTATTAAAAGTGGAGGCCAATAGGTGTTGGCAATCTTCTTCTAACAGCTCTCACAATTCTGGCTCACGATTACTGGTTAGGGTGTTTTTAGTGGCTATAGAGGTAAAACGTCTCCAGTTTGGTCCAGCGCTGTAAACATTAATAGAAGCCATTCTTTTTTCCGTCTAATTCTATATATCGCTGGTCCGCCTATACTCAGAATCTTTCCTAACTGTATCAGTCCAAGTCTTGTTTGAATACCTCGCTTTTGGTCACGGAGTTTAGGAAGCAACGAAATATGTATCAAATATGAGGAAGAACCCCAATCGTCGAAGACGGCGTTCTGTGATGGTAATGCAAGTGGTATTTGAGCGAGAGGGGATGCAGTCATGCAATTATGTGCGATTTTATTCGCACGGCGAACCTCTAAAATGTATCTTAGACATGAGTGGTCAAAGGCAGATAGTTTTTTAATATTCTCCAATCTTAATGACCAAGTCTCGTAACCAAGCAAGATCGAGCGAACTGCGGCTACACAGAAGTGGGCTTTCGTTTTTATAGTGATTTATATATAGCAACGAGTCCATAAGATTTTGTCAACCGGAAGAAAGCTGTCATTATCCGGGCTGTAATATCGTCTTTCGCCTGGTTATTTGGGATTAGAGTGGATCGGAGATATTTAAAATCTGGCACAGATGCTGGCAATCAATCTCAGTCCAGCTGGATTCCTCGCCACTTCAGTTATTCTATTATTCTAAATTGTGTGCAATTTTTATTGGTTATATGAATCATTTTATATAAATGAAACGAATTGTAAACATTTCTCTAAATTTTAGTTTTTCTCCGCAATCGATTAATCTTCATCGCAGTATAAACATTTTTTACTGATTTTTGAATCGATTTTTGCTAATAAAAGTTTTTAAGATAATTCAAGTACCACGGTTGATATTCACTGATAATGTGGCAGTTCTATTATCACTACCACTTTATCAGCCTTATCACTACCAGCCTTTCTTTCATTGGCGCTCTGTTGTTTAGCATTTTTAATAGTTCATAAAATATTTAAATAGTAAAGGTAATAGTTAAATAAATTGAATAGGGTTTTTTGGAGAAGTCTTTAAACTTCATCGGAATTCCGTTCAAAAGACGGCTTTTGTGTTAATTTATCGTTCAAAGAATATAGCGTTGGATAACATGGCTTTACAACTGATTGAAAATATAGGTCACTATAGGCCAGCTTTTAGCATTAAGCCTTTCTTGTAGCTTGGGTGCAGTTTTTTCGAAATTCCGCCGGAAAGATGAAGTATTAAGAGTAATCTACTGGCCTCGATCTTTGTATTGTGGTATTCTGATTGCTGCCTAGATTACTCCTTCTATACTTTAGATTTTCGTCTTCTAGCAGGTCGCGTCATCGCTGGTTTGGTAAGTATGAGATGCGCTTCTTAAGCGATATTGCCTTTTGCTTTATTTTTCTGTGGATGGGTTTTAAAAAAATGTCCTTCTAGTTGAGAACATTCTTCTACTTGCCATTTTTCTTGCCATATTTTCAGAATTTCGAAATGAAAAACGAATTTTTAGATGGCAATTTTTTTAAGGTTTTCTTCGGAATAATTAATTATAGTAAGCGGAAGTATGTAATATTCAGTGATTTTCCAAGCGTCGCCTGTTTTTTGTTTAATAATAAATGACGAATCGCTTTTACGACTGATTTTTCAGTGAAAAAACTTTCTGGTGCGCATTTTTTCATTTCGAAGATGTCGGCGCCGCCACCGTACAATCCGTCTTATCCGCAAGTATTAACCTTTCTTTATTTTCTTGTGTTTTGCAAGTATTTCGGAATTGAATCAATAAAAATTTAATTATCAATCGTCGCTGACTATAATGAAAATGATTGTGCAGTGATAAATTTTATTAATTTTATCGATTATCTGGAAAATTGCTTTAAATCTTGACGAATTTTCCATATTAATACTATTAATACAGCAGAGTTATGGACCACCACAACCAGGTTATGAGCAGCAACAAAGCTATGTACAGCGACCAGGTTATGGATATGGCGCCCCTCAACAAGCATATTATGGTGGACAGCCTGGTTATGGATTTCCCCAGCTACAACCGCAGTGTGTGTAAGTTCTCATTCAATGTTAATTCATTAAAAAAATTACAAGTCATCGCGTTAAAATTAGGTCTTGTCGAATTTTCTAAGGAATTTGTGAAAAAAAAATTCCAGGATTTCTCTTCAACAACAACCAAATTTCATTAATACTTAGCTTTAGTTTTTTTTAATTTTGGCTTTATCAACTTTCGTTCTTATGAAGAAATTTATAGGAATTTTAAATTAGTTGGATGCATATTACTTGCCGCCATTGTTTAATGTTCAAATTAAATACCGGCATATTGGCATATTGCAAAAATTTCTAATATTAATAGGATTATAAAATTTATTTAAAATCGTATGTTTCACTTTCCAATTCTTATAGAAACGTTGGACATCGAAATCAAGAATCGAAAAGTGCAGCTTCAAATTGTTGGTTATGGGCATTACTTGCGTTTTGTTGCGGTTGTTGTTTAGCCGATTGCTGCGACTAAATACAAACTGTGGAAAGAAATTGGAGAATCCAATAAACTCCTTGAGAATGTTCCATATTCTTAATATTACATGTTCTTAATATCAATGACTCATATGTTCTTTTCCGTATGTAAATAATAAATTTATTATTATGGAAATCCAGTTAATAGAAAAACAGTAATTATAGATTTTATATGTAAGAAAAAATTCAAAAATTCAAATAAAATTTTAAAAATTGTTTTCGTTAAAGAAACCTCAAATTTCATTTAAATGATTCCATAATTAGCACAATCAAAATACTTTTCAGTGATATTTCAGTTATATTTTCTGTGGTTTAATGGGTAATGGAATAGATTCTCTATTTTCCATTTCTTTTTTCAAATTAAATTATAAAACGATTTACGAAATCTAAGGTTTCTTTTGTTCCAAATTTTTTTTCAACGAATCGGCTGCCATTTCAACTTCCTGAAAAATCTTCGAACTGTATCAAAATTTTTTTTGATTGCCTATGCAGTTTATTGGGTCTTTCAAAAAATCTGCTCGGTTTTGTGCATTTATTCTGTAAGACTTTTTAAAAAAAGCATTTTAATGCCCGCATACTTTCATTGTGATGTGCTAGTGCATATATTCCGTTTTCCGAGTTTCTAGAACCGGTGTGGAAAGTGGTCCATAGACCCTTTGTTTTTGAAAGTGTTTCCTGAGTTGTCGGAGGATGAAATGATAGTCTCTTGGCAAGAGGTACGGGGAATATGGTGGCAAAGAAGGAATTCGATATTCCAACCGGCAATTTCTATCGTTTTCACGTCTTGCGGTTTGGCATTGTTGTATAGAATAATTTCTATTGACCAACTCTTGTTGCTATTCATAGTGTCTGGTTTATTAATTTGAATCTATCTGACTCTAATCATTCATCGGTTTTAACAAATTATATAATATATCAATCTTCCAGCAGACTACTAGTGATCGTAATTTTATTCAAATGACGATCGGATTTTGGCATCGATCAAAGAGATTCATCATTGTCCAGCCATGACTCACGGTTTATTTTTGTTTTTTGAAGTAAGACTTGCTTGTATATTATGAACTGCTTCAGTTTAAAGCCATGAAGTGTCAGAGATCAAAGTCACGCTGTTCCACGTCGAATCTAATGGATTAAATTAACCAAAAAAATTAAACGCAGCCGTTGGGCCTACACGAAAAGAAACCACTAGGTGGTGTGATGATTTCTGATGTCAGCCAATGTGGCGTGACATCAGAAATGTGCATCTCCAAACATAAAATCGATGGAACTTTTGAACTCAGTGTAGTGCAGTCGCCAGCACTCACTCTTGGATTTTACTTTGAATGGCAGTCAATATTTACTAATATCAAAAAATAGAGAAAAGACTAGACGACGTGCGCGGAGTTAAGTCGATGCGAATATCTACAATTCTGATTTTTAGACAATAGCGATTTTAGACAATGGCATACCTGCGGCAATATGAAATTTTTGCGTTTCATATTTTCAAACTGTTTCAAATATTCCATTGCTTTATCGGAATTACCTTGCTTTGCTTCAAATAACGCAAAATTCAAGTACAACTGAGGCGTTGAATTTTTATCGAGTAAAATCGCCTTCTCATATGCTTTGCGTGCATTTATTGGATCATTTAGACTTGTTAATATCACTAAATTTTTTAATTCGTTAAAATCTATCTGTAATTTTCAAAATGAATAACAATTAGCTAACCAGCCAATGCCATATAAACAATCGACGAACGAGGATTAAGATTAACTGCCGACGAGAAAAAATGATAAGCTGAAGCATATTGTTGCATTGCGTAATGCACTAAACCCAAATTGAAATTTATCTTCCAATCCAACGGACATAGATATATCGCCTCAAAATTAATTCGTTTTCTAGTAATTAGTTGTTGAATAATTTCATCCGTTCACTATTTTAAAAATTATTGTTAAAAATCATTAAAACCGAGAAGAAAACAAATCGTGACAATAAAGAAACTATAAAGGATTGCTGATAATTTCTCAGTATTAAACCAGAATTTGAAAAGCGAAAAGAGTAAAATTGATACCTTTTTTAGGCAACTAATTGCTGCTACATATTTACCTTTACTAAAGAAACACATTCCAATGTTATTCCACAAGGGACCATTGTAACTGCATTTTTCCGCAGCGACTCTTAAGATTTTAAAAATTATTGGCATTAATATTTTAATTTAATTATGTATAAAATAAATAATTATTAATATTTAATTCGCGTCTAAAATCGAAACCAAAATTTTTTATAATTGAGGTGACCAACTAAATTATAATTTCGAGGTCACTAACTAAATTACCCAACAATTGGCAAGGTGATAGCCGTGATAGAATACGTTTTATGCGGAACTTCGTCTGCTAACAACATTTTTATAGAAAGATTATTATAACTGAGGTAGATTGGGATGTGCGCGTAGATCCACCACAGTGAACTCCATAATTGGCAAATATCGCATCTGGGTCCGATTTGCCAATGGAGAATATCTTTTTTTGCCGAATAACAAATTTTTTGTTATTACTATATGCTTTTGGCACCTAAGAAGGTATCTAATCACATCCTCGGAATTCCTCGGATCCAGCCAGATTGATTATATCTTAGTCAGTCGCCGTTGGAAAAGTACTAGTACTTTTCGTACTAGTACTAGTCGTTCCTATCGAGGCGTTGAAATGGGAAACCTTCGTGGATCTGATTATGATTCGAGCTAAGATTCGCATAAAATTGACAAATCGCAAAGAAAAAACGTCCCCGAAAATCTTTCAACTATTTCAAAAGCTTCGGGGAGTAAGTGTATTTTGCAGGCCGAATTATTGTACCTCAGTGAAAAAGATATCAATAACACCTCTGGAATGGCGAATAAATATGATCACAACTAAAGGAACGTCTCCGAAAGTCAGCCACTTGCGTACTAGGATATACTAGTTAAAAGATTTTAAAGAAAGATGTTAGAAAATGTGCTAGCAGGCTATTGGAAGCAATTTTTCAATAGTCCTAAAAAGCTGTCGAAGAATGCCAGGAGATCTCGATTATTGGATGCTTTAAAAAATTATGACAACTATAAGAACGTGGGAGAAATCACTACTTGAGTGATATTGTAAAATGAAGACTCGATTAGACGATATTAGGAAACTTCCATTTTCACAACTTTTGCTTGGGGCAACGGTCAGCGAATTGATACGGTATAGCAATGACGTACCTGTGGTTATTAAGGATTATCTTTTAAGGTATAAGGAATTCTTTAAAAGCAATTTAAATCACAATACGCCATCTATTTTCACGGAGTTGAAGCGCTCGCTCAGAATGTTAAATCGCCAGAAGAATAGGAAATAATCTCTGTTACCCAAAAACTTAAGGCCAATAAAAGTCTTCCGGTCTTCCGGTCGAACTCTTCAAATATTGCCCATCGTCCTTTATATATCATATTTTCAACAAATGTTCTCTCTAGTACGAAAGAAGAAAATAACTAATGACTCCAATTGTGCACAAAATTCATAAGAAAGGTGCCAGGACACATTATGATGGATGTCGAGAAATCAGCGTACTAGACATCTCCGAGGCAGTATCAAACAGCAGGACGCCCTAACCAAGCTGGATTCAGACCGAAGTGCAGTAGTTATGCTCACCAGATATTCATGATAATGGTATTGGAACACAGCTTCAAATATCAGCAATCCACTGTCTCTTGTCTCATCGATTTTACAGGTGCCTTCGATTTAACTGGGTGCAACTTTGGAGAGTGATGGAATATATCGATGTTCCAGAGAAGAACATTCGATTCATATAAATTTTAAATATCCTGGATCCACTAAACCCCAAATGGCCAAGCAAAAAACCGATAATGCCTTGAAATGAATTCTTCCGCCTGGCGAAACCTTTATGGAATCATCCCGAAATCACCATCAAAACCGCGTCTATATGTCTGCATTTCTCTGAGGCGTTATCTATCTATCTATCTTTGACCACCGATGTCTAGGATTCATTTTTTATGGGATTTGCCGAGCGGATAAAATCTAACATGATTGTGTCAATCTTCACTATTACGTACATTAACAATACCATTACACAACGCCGCCTTCGTTGAGGCACTTTCTTCGCAGCACATTCACCAGAGCGATATACTTCGTTACTTGCTAAATCCTGGTGTCAAAGCGAGGAGGTCCAATCAAGACCAGGACTGATACAAACAGAAAAAATTTTGAATATTTGAATTTTGAATTATATTTTAAAAACATAAGTGGACCAGCGATATATCGACTTAGACGGTGTGAAAAGCAAAAAAGCAATGGCTTCCATTACTGTTATCGATATCATCGAATCGGACTTGAAAATGTTTTACCCTTGTAGATAGCGGAGGAAGCTTAACCAGTAATGGTGAGAGGTATTATAAAAAGAGGAAATTACCCAACAATTTGCAAGGTAATAACTGATTAGACTTCTAATAACTCATTAACTAAAAGATCTTGGAAAATATATTTAAAATACGATTCGTTTGGGTATGTGCATGCCTTCTACGAAAATTTATTTTCATAGCGAATCAATCAACCAACTCAAATTCATGATGAAAGAATGATTTTACCTATATTTTATAAGTGCCACATCATAATCGCCCATACCTTGCATAATTGCACCAGCAGTTAAAATACTTGGAGAATGTGAAGGATCGTAACTAAGTGCTTTTCCCAGTGTAGCAAATGCCTGGTCATCGTTTTGCACTTTTAAGTATAAAAGACTGAGACTAACAAGAGCATCCAAATCCTCCGATTCTAACTAGAATTTTTCTGGCAAGAAATAAATTTGATTAAAACAAAAAATTAGAAAAAAGGGCGCAAAACATTACCTATTTAAATAATACCTCCAACCTATAATACTTATAACGTACCTCCAAAGCTTTTTTATAAGCTTCAATGGCTGAATTAATTTCATTTTTCTGTGCGCATAGTTCTGCCAAAAACTTTAAGATTTCGACTGATTTAACAAAATTTGGTGCTGACATAATACATTCTTGAGCCTTAATTATTGAAAATATATGTGGTCATATTTTTGAATGTTTTTGAAAAAGTATGAAAAAGACTTCTAAGCAACCGAGGATTGTCAAATCTAACTGAATCTTTCCAATTATCAGCATAAGATTAATGAGAAAGTCACAAGTAGTCACTTTTGGATAAAAATATAAGTGGATGATGCAAATCTGGATTCCAAATCGCAAGGAACGAACTCATGACTACGGTTGTTTTCTTCGAGTATAAGTGATTTTCCCAAACGATTTAAGTAATGATGGACTTTCCCTTTTAGAATATTGTCGAAAAGAATTAAATTCTAAAGGGAAGAAAAAAATCAGCACCTGAGTAGCGGATTCATCACTCTGATCAATGTGATATAACGCCATCGCTCGCCAGTAATAAGCTTTCTAAAATTTTTCATGTCGGCGAAATTATGCCATATCTTGTAATTGCCATGAATTTAAGTAAGTAACATTAAATAAACTGAAATCAACCGTATCGGATGGATTAAGTTTGATCGCTTCAAGTAGAATTTCAGCAGCTTTTTTATGATTACCCAATAAAAACTGAATATGGCCAATTTCACGAGGATAATTAGATTTTTGTGGTCGTAGTGAACGAGCTTTTTCAAAACTGTAAAGGCGTTCTTTGTTTATAAAATTAGTCACTTCTCTATTACTTAAAAAAAACAAAAGTGAATGAAAATTAAATAAATATTTGGGTTTTAAATAAGTTAAAAGCTTATATTATGCATAATTCTTTAAAAAGGACTTATGAAAGAGATAAAATAAAGAGAAACCATTCCAAAGCCATTATTAACTCCTTTTCAACTATCGCAATTTTTCCACGAATATAAATCGGATAATCGTATAATTCATTGCATTCTTCCAATATTTCCTATAGAAAAATATGAAAAATCTACGACGTGATAATCTTGTTGATAATTTTCCTGTGATTTTGCCTTTAATCAATGTTTATTTATTTAAAACCCAATGACTAAAAATTCGCATCATATCAAAACGATTAATCATATAAACGTTTATTATAGCTTACAAAGCGCTTAAGGAAAATTTTTTTTTATAAAAGCGAATTTTACATTATAAAGTGCTGAGTGCACATAATTACTTTAATTAGAGCCTTGCAAGAGTTAAAATCCTTTCGAATATAATACTGATGAATGAGAAAATTGCGACGATCGAAGACCGAAAGGTTCATTGGCTTCTTCGAATTCGGTGGCCTTAAAAAAATAATCATTTTGTACAATTTTTTCACTTATCAGATAAAGCATAAGAATGACCTTTGAGTGACCTTTAACTTCATAAGTAAATAGCTTACAAAGTTTAAATCAATAAGAAAAACTCGAACATGACTTGCTGCTTTGATTTCTTTTCCTCTTGTTCATCATCGTTTTCACTCGATTCATCAGTTATTAGCGATTTTTTTGCTTTCTCCAACGATGTAGTACTCTTTATATTTGCATACATATCGCTATCATAACTTTTGTTACCCTCCGAACTCGCTTGTTTAGATTCATCCATTTTCGCAAAATGGCTTTAATATATTAAATCTTTGCAAATATCGACCGCTTCAGTTGAAGAATCTGCCCTAAAATGTTACAGAATGTTACAAAATGTTGCCCATGAGCAATTTATTTTGCATAAAATTTTTTTCATCACTCGCTTCTGTACATTTTAAAAACTTATGAGATTTGCACGTCCGATTATTGCGCAAATAAAAATTCTTACAGTTCTTGATAAATGATACATAACTCATGCGAAAAACACATGCATTTGGCATACATTCACTGTTTACAATTTCCGCAGATGTTAACTGCGCGATTATCAACAAGCAAAGTGTGGTTTCTTCTTCGTCTTCTAATTTTTATTCTTCTTACTATTACCCCACAAGGGGATGTCCCAAAGCTGCTCGATCCGACTCCACCGCTAGTAGTAATAGAGGCCATTCCTTTTCCCATCGTCTAAGTCCATATATCGCTGATCCCCATATACATTCAAAATCTTTCCTGACTGTATCAGTCCAAATCTTGGCCGGCTCTCCTCGTTTTTAGCGCCAACAATCACAGGATTTAGCAAGTAACGAAATATGCGTCAACTCCTGTGGATGCGTCGGAGAATGTGCTCTAACCAGCGAAGGCGATGCTCTGTGCTAACATTATTAATGCAGCTGGTAGGTGAGCGAGGATGGATACAATCATGTGTGATTTTATCTGCTCAACGGATGCGTAAAATGGATCTTAGACATGACTGGTCAAAAGCTGATAGCTTCTTAAAATCTTCCACTCTCATTGTCCATGTTTCGCAACCATATAGCAAGATCGAGCGAATTGCAGCTATATGGATGCGGATTTTCGCCTTTATAATGATTTCGCGACGGTTCCATAAAGGTTTCATCCACTGGAAAAACATATTTCTAGCTGTCGTTATCTGAGTTACAATTTCATCTTTCATCTTTTCCCTTTGGGATTAGAGTGGATCGAAAGTATTTAAAGTTAAGTACTTCCTCAACCGGCAATGAATTGATAAAAATATGTATTTTATCAGCATCTTGCATATTAGACGAAAATATTTTCGTTTTATTTACATTGATTTTGAGTCCAATTCTTGCTGCAGTTGTTAACACATTGTTTATTATTTGCATTTCCCTATGATTGTCAGCAAAAAAGACCACATCAGCAGCGCATTCAAAGTCCGTGATGCTATGCACTAGACTGATTTGCACACCCCTCTTGAGTGCTGATAAACGCATTATCCAATCTGTCGCGTAGTTGTATAATGTAGGGGAAAGGCAGTTTTTATTTCAAGATCTGTCAGTTCCCCATATACACAGATTTGCGTCAAAATATGCTGATAAAATGCATTTATGAGTCGAATGATCTTATCTTATCATTTTCCAGAGCGATGCTCTATCAAGCGAATTGAAAACCGCAAAATCAATAAAGCAAGTGAAGATGGATTGCTGGTATTTATAGCTAGCACCATTCTTAGCGTAAATATCTGGTCAGCACAATCGGGTCTAAATACATATTAATTGGGACGCATTCTACCATCTTGTGTTGCCATGAATCTATTTAGCAGAACATAAACGAAAATTTTTCCGGAAATGTCCAGTAGGCTGATTGCCGCAGTGTCATCTCCGGGAGTTTTATTAGCCTTAACCTTATGGATTACAGAGATTGTTTCCTCTTCTGTTGGCGATTCATAGTTTCAAACGTAAGGCTCGACGTGCGAATCAATTATATCCAGCACAACAGGACAACAGATGGTGCATCGTGGCTGAGAAATTTTGGCACAAAAAATTCTTTCCATCTTTTGAGGCGATTCTTACCAACTTTAATAGACACCCCATTAATATCTCGTATTCTTTCACTGACCCCTTTTGAATTATAATTGTTTTGTGAAGAAGGAGGAACAGTTTCCTATTATCCTATTATCATCAATTCGTGTCGCAGTATCCATTCTCAAGTCTCTATCGCTCCAATAGAGATTTCTATCCCATCGTGATGCTACAGTTGTAACTCTTTGAAACACTCGATAGTCAGGATCTTCTGACATTCGGACGTTGGTAACTTTTTCAGACAGATGGACAGTTGCTTCCTACTAGTATACCCTAGTGTGGAAACGGTTGACTTTTATAGGTATGTATTCAGTTGGGACCAGCATTCATCTGCCTATCCAAAGATGAGATTAATGTTCATTTCACTAAGATGTTTCAATAATATGGTTTAAAATGCACTTATCGTTCCCGGATCTTTTAATTTGAGATAGTTAAACGATCTTGGGGTACACTTACGAGTTGTCAATTTTATACGAATCTCGGCTCGAACCATAACATGACCTAATCCATGGCGGTTATTAGTTTCAGCGCCCCGATAAGAACGACTATCAAATACAGAACTCTTCCAGCGACCAATATATATTCACCTGATTGGAATATTGGTTGTCCGGAGAGCTCCACGTGACTAGATCTTTCCTCCGATGCCAAAGTATATATTAACAAAGAATTCATGCTCTTCGGCAAAGCGAAGAAGGCGTTTTCCATTGGCGCACTGGACCTCAATGCCATATTTGCCAATTACATTGTAACGGCATCATAATCTACTTGCGCATTCCAGTATCCCCTGAATATGACCATGTCCACCTCTCGGTAGGAATGCTATTAACAGTTTAAATTCCGCAATAGAACTTATATCCTTATTGCGGTCATCTTCGCATAAAGTTGGAGCATAGACACTGATGACCGAAATATTGCAGAACTTCCACTTGAAACGTGCGTAGGCCATACGGTTATTTACTGGCTTTCATTTAAAAATTCCATCAAACGGAGTGATTTTTATATTAATATAAATTTTATATTTAATTTTATTTTCAATGGTCTGGCACAATGCTAGAAATGAAATTTTTCGCAGATTTCCAACCCAAATAACTGGCAAGTGGCGGTTCAGAAATAATTGAGGAATATTAAAACTTCGAAGAATATTAAAACAATTTGTGCAAATGCTAAATTTGAAAGAAATTTAAATGAAAAGTAAATTTGGACTAAAATTCAGAACTGTCCGAAGTTGTCATAGCTACGATGTGATAATTTTATGCTTCAACTATTTTTTCTTATCTTAAAACGAATACCCATATTCTGTAATTTTTTCTGAATGTTCTTAATTTATGTGATGGACCAAGTCCCGCATATTCTCGTTAAATTTAATAAAGAGATATGTTTCGTGGTGAGTGGTATTTCTATTTACTGAAATGTATTGGGTAGCAGTGGTATTGGGTAACCAACTAGTATTGAAGACAAATTCTTTTAAATGTTCGAATGAGTTAGTATATTTTGATATAATATGGTTGATCGTTGAATTTAATAATAAAATGGCCTAAATAGGATCAGAATTTTTAACTTTGCAGAATTTTGCGCCTCTTCGTTCCGACAAATGTTGGCTTTGGTTCCATGGGCATGCGATTCTTTCATCGGTTTGCCTTTTTTTTATTTCACTTTGTTTTATTTTCAGGAAGTATTTTGTGAAAAGAAACTGTTAAAAAAGGTAATTTAATAAGTGTTTCATACTTCATTATTTTTTTTATTTAAAAGCAGTTTTTCGAAATGAAACAATCCTTAATCAAAGTATTTTGCGGAATCCAAAATAGTATATTAATTAATGAATCATTTAAAGCATTAAATAATTTTTTTGTCCATTTAATTTTTACTTATTTTACAATCTACAATAGTAGTTTATAAAAGTTTTGAAAGGTGCATTCGATAAAATTAAAGGAAGAAAATAGTTGCACGAATTCAAACCAAAAGTTAATCGAAAACCTCGATGCTTGCATTGATTCTGAAGGAATTGTCCAGGTCTTGAATAGTTTAGTTGGGGCATGGTCGGTTATCTGCTTTCGAGTATGTCTTCATTTTGCATTTCAATTGCTTTTCTGTTCCCTTTTTTGATCGTTTTTTTTAATGAGTCGTTTATTAAATCGTTTATTGATTTATGCGTTTTTCTGTCTGTTATTTTGTTTTATTAAGCAAAAGTTTGATAAAGATTTGTTACTTTTTTTTGATTTTTATCAGCTAATGAATGTAAGTTCATTAAAGGCAATTCAACTAAGTCCCCTCTAGCGTCGTGATTCGAACAATGTTTCTGGCAAAAGTAAATCCATTATTATTTAGAAATCCGAGAGGTGCTGGCGACCCACCCCTATTTCTATTTTTGTTAAGTGATCCTCGCAAAAATTTCTCATCACACTAATAGGCAGTAGAGGGAGCTTAACGAGGAAGCCCTAACAAATTCTTATTTAATATGAATAAATTATCATTTGATTATTGATTTTAAGTTAAATTTGCATTGTAAATTTTCTTCTGATAGGGAGAAAATAAATGGAATATTGGGATTGATTTTTATTGCGTAAATAATTACAGCGAATAATAGAGAATTTTAGAAGGGTTTAATTAGAATAGGCGAGAATAGGGATAGAAGATTGATAGGAAATACATATATCTCAATTATAAGTTAAATTCAATCCTAACGTATTATTTATACAATGAGTTAAAATAAAGGACAATAGACAATATATTAATCATACTAATCGGGTCATTCCTGATATTTGTTTTGTGATTCAATAAAAATCCCAAATAATCAAGATACCTCACGCTTTTATTTCATTGTTACATTGTTGCATTCTATTAACTTTATTCTTTTTGTTTAAAATAAACTTTTTATTTTATTTATTTGGATTGAACCTAATGCAGCGCTCTTAATCGTATGGACTGTTTGGAAATAATTCTATTCGCTTTCGATTAGCCAAGAAATAAATTTTCATTGATTTTATATTTCTTCATGGAAAATGATTTTCTTATCGAAGATTATTACTAATATTGTTTGTTCACATTTGTTGCATTTGAAGGAAAAAAAAGAGTATTGTATTGTTATTGCTGAATCACCTAAACTCAGTTTATTCTTCTTTTTTTCCAGTCTGATCTAAAGCAATTGGTAATAGGTCGCGATGTCTTTGGAAGAAAGAGTTTATTATGGATTCGCACTGAAGACTGTTTAATTTTGTCCCAGTCCATTACGTGTTTCAAAGTGAGTATTTTTATTTCACATGAACGAATTTTATTTTCGGCTTAAGGATCTCATTTTCACAGAAGATGTGTTTAATATTTCTTACGATAACCTTCCAGAAGACTTGGTCGGAAATACCCTCGGGTTCGATTTCGGTGATAAATTTTGATAATTATGCCAGTATTTGGCATTCTGTTAACTTTTATTCTGTTCGAGAGATAAATAATTGTTTATGGGTTAAGCAATTCGTTGATCTAAAATTCACCTGGATTAAAAATAAGGCCTCGAAACTTTTGGTTGTCAATCGTGAACTTGGTTCGGTTAGTCTTTCAAAAATAATAAAAATTATGTAAAGTTTTAAAATCTCTAAAATTTGATTGAGGTGTATATTTTGGCTATATATGTTAAATTTTTGTTCAATTTGACTTATTATTTTTTAAATTTCGTAAATTTTTAATTTTATTTCTTTAAGACAGATTGTGATATTGTCAGCGAAATGGTCGAGCGTTTGTGTAATGCAGTGCGGTTTTGTTGTTCTGATTTGGATTCAAACAGTTCTTTAGCAGTTTTGTTTAGTGGAGGTGTGGATAGCCTATTAATAGCTGTTATTACTGCTTTTGTTATTCCTGAAAATATTATTATCGATCTGATCAATGTTTCTTTCGATGAAAAAGTTTGTCGAATTCAGTTTGATTTTCAATAGATTGTTTAGTGTTTTTTTTTTACGCTGGTTGGCAAGTGGTCAAACTCAATACATCAGGTTTTTATAGGATTATAATCTTGCTCCAGATAGGCCTCATGCTATCGAAGCCTATTTGTATTTACTTTCGCAATTTGGTAATAGTCGTTTCCGATTGATACTGGTTAATGTAGATGGTAATGAACTAGTCCGTTGTCGTCAGCAGCATATTGCTTATTCCATTGCTCCATCATTGTCAGTTTTGGATGATTCTGTTGGATGTGTTTTATGGTTTGCTGCGAGAGGGTCTGGTGTGCTTTACGGCTCAAATGATTCAACGCAAGTGAAGTAGGTTGAAGTAGCGCTCGATGTTATATGTTCGACGTATAATTGGTGTATCGAAAAGGTAAGATAATTAATTACAACATTCTTTTTTAGATCCAATGCAAAGATTGTGTTAGTCGGCAGTGGAGCTGATGAAATATTCGGAGGTTATTTGAGTCATCGAAGCGCATATGAGAAATATGGAAGGTTGGGTGTTATTGATGAACTTCAACGTGAGATGTACCGAATAGGCGAAAGAAATTTGGGTCGTGATGATAGGGTGACAAGCGGTATTGGGAAAGATGCAAGGTGTTTAATAAGTTTTTTTACTTTATATTTTTATATTTTTGATTTATGTTTTATTTATATTTTTTATTTATATTGAGATTTATATTTTTGCATGAAATCTGCTGATCTTGAAATTTTTAGAGCACCTTTTCTTGATGATCGCTTCGTGGAATGGTTGAATAGCCTTCCCTTGGAAGCAAAGGCAGATTTTACCAAAGGACGAGGATTTGGTGAAAAAAAGCTAATACGCAAAGCTCTTGAAGTACGTTTTAGTATTTTGTGGTTTGAAATTATTTGGATTTTATTCTGTCTTTATCTTAAGAATTTTGGATCACCGCAATCTCTCTACAATGCTCCGAAACGAGCAATGCAGTTCGGTGCAAGGATAGCAAAACGAGAAAAACGAAAAGAAAAAGCTAATGATATTTGTGACCGAATTCTTGAAAGCCTGAATAATGGGAGCATATAGTTAAATAAATTTTTTCGGCTGCATCTCTGGAAGAATCATCAGGATCATCCCTTCTTGTGCAGTAATTTTTGAAAAAAATGATTAAAAAATCTTGCTGTTCCTGATGTATGGTGATCATTATTTTATTGCTGATTAATCTAATTAATAATCGTAATGTATTAAAGTTTAGGTTGGTTAAAGTAAAGTTTTTAAAAAAAATGTAGTTAATTAAATAATTCAGTCCTGTGGCCTTATGAAAGTTGCAAAAATTTATTTTATGATATGAAAGTATTTATAAACGCTACGATTATATTAGAATCCAGTTCATATTCATTCTATTCAGAAAAATTTCTATATCTATTTGTCTCGTGCTCTTCGGCAGCTAAAAGCTGTTGGTAATCCGTTAGAACAGTCGCAAAGGTCATGACATTCTGCAAAAGCTAAATTTCATTTTACATTCATTAAAAAAAAGTAGGTCCTTAAATCAGTTGGTTCTTTCCTTACAAAATTTTGATTTATTAAATTGTTTATTTTTTTATTTGTCTTGGTTTTTTATCATTTCTTAATCTTTTTTCTACCTGTAGGATTTTGCCTGCAAATGTTACGTATAGCCGCGTTTATAGCGTTCACTGATTGGTGATTTTTCGTATTAATATTGTTCCAGGATTTGAATTCGCCTTCATTCACACTTATCTGTAAACAACAATTTCGTTTAATTCAATATAATTAATTCGAAGAACAATGAAATCTGCACCTGTAAAGATTTAAAATCAAATAGTATTTCAATGTTCCTCGCTGAATCACACGAAAAAATTACAAATAATATGTACCTGTCCACCAAAAAGGTCGACTGATGCTTTATTTAAGGAATAATTTCCGACATGAATAAGCACCATTGCTGGCGATTTTCTGCAATCATGCTTGGACCATTTTTGAAGCAATTCTTTGGCTGCATTAATATCCGCAATATTCATATCTCTAAAGCATAGGTCTGATCCACGGATTTATTATTTGTAAATTAATATTAAAGTTTATTGTAAGAGAAATAAGTGGTTAGCATTCACAATTTTCGGTCAAGCTAATACCGTTTTTTATTTTCTATATAGTTATTTAATGGTGGATGTACAGGCGGGCAGTCATCATAGCGCTGTCTATCAAAATTATCGACTTAATTATTTACTTGCAGATGGCCTTAACTTTTTCATAATAACTGTTGCTTAAAGCGAAAACTTTTGCTTACTCCGCGGTATCGGTAATAAAAACCAGTGTTGTTGTAGCGAATTTCCTTATTCCATTGGCCGAAATATTCCCTCCATGACGATACGCATCATAGATCAATTCTAGTGGCCTAAAACAAATTTTTATATTTTATAAATATTTACTAGCAAAACCAAAACCGCCGACTAATTTTAGGAAAGAATAGGAGTAGGAAATCAGTTCATTTTTTAAAATTAATTAGATTTTAAGGTTTTTTCTACAAATCACTTTTGAATTTTTTCTCCAGAATTTAATGATGGTTTGATTTTATTTATTTCTTTTCTGAGACTTGAAGGATCATATGATTTTAAATTGATTAAAATATTTGCTGCTTTGCCATCATATTCGACAAGTCCAACGTGAAATAGGTCGTATTCCAAGCCAATGCATTTGTCTGGAAAAAAACCATTGGTATTGGCGAATAAAACGTTTTGGGGGAATTTTTCTATGATTTAACTTGGTATGTTTTCTTTTAATTTACTGGCTTACTGGATAAGCTTTTTTTCTTTTTGTAATTTTTTTCCTTCTCTTGTCTTTGTCATTGACAGGAGTGAACCCATCATGATATCGAAAATGCAGTGGCTATCGCGTATCCACCTATATACCCAAGTGACAATATCTCAAGTGATTCTGCGGTGAAACGGTCAGTCTTCTTGACGCGGCGTTTGACGGTCCTTGATAGTTTTAGCTCGGTGACATATGCAATAAATATGTAATCCCGGAGTAGTCAAACGACTTCAAGGACTGAGAATATGATCTATTCGCAAGCCGAATTTTCAAGACCTATCAAAAGAAATGCGCATTGAGGTAATAGCTGTTGCACCGTGGAATCCCAGAACGCTTATGGCGATCACGTCCACACTCTTTCTAAACATCGTGTGGATATTGCCTGCTCGTCGCGTTCCTCATTTTAGATATCCTGTAATTAAATCAGACCCAAATCATTGTACTGTTTCGGATAACGCGAGACGAAATGGCGTAGCGATTGTCATATCTGGAAAAAAATTGGTCCGCTCTGATTGAATGGAAGCCAGTAAACGATTGTGTGGCCTATGCTGCAAAGGAAAATTCTGCAATATTTCGGTCACCATGTACATGCAAATCACGATAAAGATAAGGATTTCTGTGCGGAATTTCGACACTCTTCTACTGAAAAGTGATAAGGGGGAGACTGGAATGTGCGCATAGATCATGATGCTGCCACCGTAAACTCTGTAACTGGCAAATATGGCATAAGTATCTGGTGCACCAATAGAATAATCTTTATTATGCTGAAGAGCATGAACTTTTCGTTACTAATACATATTTCCCGCATCGAAGAGGACATTTGGTCACTGGAACCTCCTGATTGATTATATCTTAGTCAGTCGTCGTTGGAAAAGTTTTATATTAGATTGCCGTTCCTATCGGGTTGCCAACTTTCATGGATCAGACCATATTATGATTCGAGTCAAAATCAGCATAAAACTGTCAATTCGTAAGAAACAACGTCTCCCAAGATCTTTTAACTATCTCAAACTAAAAAATTCAGAGGCAATAAGCGCATTTCAAGCGGAATTATTGAAGCTCAGTAAAATGAACAATAATGATATCTCTGGAATAACGGATAAATATTGGTCCCAAATAAAGGCATGTCTCCGAAAGTCAGCCACTTCCATATTAGGATATATTAATAGGGAATCTGTTAACTAGATATCGGATACAATTTTCCAATTTGTCCGAAAACGCTGTCAGAGCAAAAGGAGGCTATCCTAACTATCGGATGCTTCGAAGAATTACAACGACTGTAACATCGCGCGTCGGAAATTGCTATTGGAGTGATATCGCTTTGAGAATTGAGAGAATTGAAACGGCGGCTAGATTGGGTGATAAAAGGAAACACCTTTTTCATAAAGCAACCATAACTCGCGGAACGGTCATTGAAATGATACGGGAAGTAATGATGTGCCTGTAAGCCTATTAAGAATCGCTTCATGAAGTGGAAGGAATTCTTTGAGGCCAAGTTTAACTGCAATACGCAATCTGTTGTTCCAGATTTATCCGATTCGCATGTCGAGCCATATCATATGCTCGCAATTCCGAGCCGCCAACAGAAATAATCTCTATTATCCAGAAATTTAAGGCTAATAAATCTCCTACAGTTGATCTTTGGGTTGAACATTTCAAATCTTGTCGATCATCCTTAATATCGTCCACACTTTTAGAAAATATACTTTTTGGTATGGAAAAATAAAAGCCAAATGGTTGAAGCAATTCTGCCCCCAATTCCTAAGGAAAGTGCCATGATATATTATTGCAATTATTGAAGGAATTATCAGCCTACTAGATATCTACAGGAAAATTTTTGCTTTCCTTCTACTAAATATATTTATGGCAGATAGGATGCACCCTAACCAAATTAGCTTAAGAGACGAAATTGTTCTGGCCAGAATGTTCACGTCGAGAGAGGGAAAGGATATTGGAACATTGTTTCAAATATCGGCAACCAACCGTTATTAGTTTCAATTTTGCCTTCGATTCAATCGATAGATTGGCGCTAGTTATTAACTGTTACTAGTTTTGGAGAATGATGGAATGTTCGAGAGAAGACCACTCGGTTCATAAAGACATTTTGCAACAAAATAAGGTCAATGAAAAGAAATTAGTGAGCGGTACATTATAGAAAAGGATAGAATGGCTCAGTGGGTTGTTGCTCAATTGGGAATGCCGATGCTGAGGTTCGATTCCCCGCAGGAGTAAAACTTCTACAAAAATTCGGGTGATGCTGGCGACTCACCTGTATTTCTATCGCCAAGGGACTCCCTGGCATATTGCGCAATGCGACAAGGCAGTGCAGCGAGTTTAACCAGTAATGATGAAGGATCTTTAAAAAAAAAAAATTATACAAAAGGACCAAAAACTAACAATGTAAAGAGAAATAATACAATAAAGGGGAATTATACAATAAATCGAGTCGAACTGAATGTATTAGTGATACATAATCGGAGGATAGAAGATTTCAAACCACCTTCATAATGTGAACCTATTAAACAATATCATGGATGATTTAATCTTTTTTTAAAAATAATTAAGCATGAAACACAAACAAACTACGTCATTCGACAGCTTATTCCATTAATTAATGGCACGAAAGAGAAAGAGAATGTGCCCCTAGTTTAGTTTTGCCATTTAGATTTTTATAATTAGATCTTGCTGGGTTGAAATTTAACCTAAAATCGTCGTATTTTGAACAATCTAATTTGATATAACCATATAAAATTTTATATATATGAATTAAATCTTGATTAATTCGACGAATTCTAGATTGTATAGTTGAAGTTGTGTTGTGCTTTATAACTGAGATTGCCATCAGGTGAGAGGCGCAGTACAAGATATTTTTGTAGTCCTTCAATTAATTTACTTGATTTGCCGTATGTAGGAAAAGCACATTCAAGAATAGAACAAACGCTTTGTATATTTTAATAAGAAAACTTTATCTTCTACTTTTAAACTATCGAAAATTAAAATTTAGTAGTCTTGGGGATTTTTTTACTATAATGAAGGTCGAAATCAAAGTTTTTATCCACGACCCTACCAGGATCTGAGACATTCGAGACGCATCTAATTATGTTACCATTAATAAAGAGATTATGGAGATCGGATCCTTTCGAATTTATATGTAATACACTACACTTTTGAAAGAAAAGCATAATTGCCTGTTATATAAGCAATTGACAATTCTTGTAGCGAAGACAGTTTATCAATCACCATGAGAATAATAAATTTTATAGTATATCAATATAGGTATAGTACAGTCCTTTGACCACTCTCATGTCTAAGATACATTATATGGGTCCGGATAAAATCTTATATGATTGCATCTTTCTTCACTTTAAATACAACTTGCATTAACAGTACTATTATAGAGCGTCGCTGACTAGGGTTGTTTTTTTGTCGCCCATCATGAGAGCATATTTCGTTGCTTGCTATACCCCTCTGATAAATGGCGTCAAAAGTAAGGAGGGTCAATTAAGAACTGATACAGTCAGTAGAGATGGTGTAGATGGATCAGCGATAAATGCACTTAGACGATGGAAAAAGGAATGTCTTCTATTATTGACGATGGTGGCGAAGTATGTTTGAAAATCTTCTTATCCTTGTAGTCAGTGGATCCAGCCTAACTCAGTAATGGTGAGAACTGTTTGAAGGAGAAGAAGGTTAAGCTTTGCAGGTTACAAGGATGTGCCTTTTATATTTATATTCGATTTATAATTATGAAAAATGAAAAATTTATGAAAAATTGACCTTGTTTTGTGTTTCTGAATTGTTGGTACGATGTACAGCAATGATTAGATCCATAGAATTCATATCGAGGGGGCATTGTACTATAATTTGGAATTAGTTTTATTTAGGATTTTTAAATATCGTTTGAATCCGCGAATGAACGGCCGTCTTAAAAGGTTCTTGAAAATCCGACATATTTATATATAAGAAAATGAAATAAGGAAAGAAAACTTACTAAGCATCGGTGGGCCACACTTAATGTTATACCAGGAAAGACTAACTGCTTCAATCATTCTATCAGCAACACCTTTTACATTCTGGTGATGAAAAGCATGCAGTGGTACTATATTTGCTGTGGTAGATGCTATGGCTGGCCAAATGCTTCGATCAGGATTAATGACTGTTAAATCTCCAACATGAATGTGACTTGTCAATTTGCCGAGCTTAAAATATGTCAGATCATTTCTAAATATCCTTTATTTATGGCGGCCATTTTCTAGAATGCTTTAAAAGTTTATGTATTGTTAATAACCTTATGGCCTTCTTCTTCAGCTTCTTTTTTGTCGATAATTTTCCTGAAAAAGTCAAGTGAAGGCAAATGAAAACTGAAAATACAAGGCGAAAATGTGGTTATCATTTTACTAATTTTTGAGTGATTTATATATTATATAATATTAGAATACCACTGCTTACAATTTTTCAGCTTGACCAAAGAAGATGACCAGTGGCGAACCATCGAAATTATCCAAATCGTTGTAAAATTCATTCACCACTTTTTTAGCCAGTTTGATTCCCCTAAGTTAAAATTTTTTATAGTTATTCTTATAGTTTTATAGTTATTCTGTTTTCTATACAAAATTCCAAATTGGTACAAATTCATTTAAAAAAAGTTTACTCATAAAAAAAACATTTTATAGTGAAGGCCACGGAAAAAGTATGAGTTAAAATATCATTTTTCCCAGAATTAGAATTGTATATATTTCGATTTTTTCGATATATTTTTTATTTAGATGCATTTCGATTTTTCGAAGAAAGTGAATCTATATATTTTTTCAAAAAAACAGTTTAAAACATCACTGAGCCAAAAATGTTCGTCCATCAAATAAAGGCCTTATATTTGGGTATTGTCCATGCTCTTCTGTAACCAGTTGTTCGATTATATTTTTGTAAGCTTCGTATTTATCTGCCCGTTCACCAAAAATTTTGCTGTTTGTTGAATTTGAATAAGTTATAAGTCTAAACGACGAATGTTCAGACAATGCATAGAAATATTTGGCTATAAGATTTGTCGCTTTCAAAATCTGGAAATCAAAGTTCTTCAATGAAATTAATAAGTAAAAATGAGATATGTCAGTTTGCGAGATAACTAGCAACTAACCAGTAAGTTTTAATTCCATGTGTAGCAAATGTAAGTTCTCATCAAAATTCCTGATTATGTTTATTTTCATTTGGTTGACTAAAGGCTTTTTAATAGATTTGCTCATGTTTTAACCAAAATTTCTTCGCAATCTTATCCTAAATTAACCGTGAACGATCCCTCTAAGCGATTTGCTATTTGAAATATTGAAGCATTCGATTGTGCTTCTGCAAAGTAGAAAAAGGTCTTTTCACAAAAGCAACTTACAGAAATTATCCTAGAAAATACAATTTCAGTTGTCTCTACAACGAAGATAATTGAGCGACAAACTGCAAATTTTTTTTTGAATACAAAATTCTTTTGTGCTCACTTCATTTTAAATGATTTTCTTATAATTTTTTCAAATTAGCATTTGAAATATCCCAAAAAGTAGAAAAATAATCGATAAATAAAATTTCTTGATGGAAATTTACGGCTGTTTCAGAGCATTCATGAAATTTTAGAATGTAAAATTTTCTTTTCCACTATTCATCTTAAATTTTTATAGGTTATATATTGCCTTGTAACGTTTTTTTTTAATTTATAAATTCAAAGAAATTAATAAGTTAATGGAAAATTAAGCTTACATTTGTGATAATATGGTGGTATTGTTCTGTGGAGCCCTGGAACATCTCCTGGACAAGGGATATTATCTATTATTTTCTCCGACAAATCATTCGTTAAATTTTTACTATAAACTTCAAATAATAAATCTGTTCTGTTTCCGTTAATTTTCAATAATTCCTGTAATTTTACGGTGAGTTTCGCTTATAATTTTTTTATCAGATATTTTCTCTTGGTTTTATAAGATTCTTTAAGATTCTTTAACCATTGATGATAGGATCAAAATGGTCATTTTAGAACACCTCTCTATTATGGGTCGTATAATCGCCATTTGTACCATTTAATCCTACACAAATAATAATAGTTCCTGCTTCTCGAAGCTTTTGAGCAATTGGTATAGGATCGTCAGTAAACATCGAATGTCTAAATTTTCAATGTATTATTAAATCAGCAGCCAATCTACAAAATCTCATGGGCAGAAATCAGTAAATCTGTAAATCACCAAATCTCATGGGCAGAAATCAGTAAATCTGTAAATCAGTAGATCAGGAGAAGCAGAAAATTTAAAAAAATTTTATAAATTATATATTTATACGCTATATATTATTATATATACGCTATATATAAATATCGGGTGATGCTGGCGACTCTCCTGTATTTCTATCGCCAAAGAAATCCCTGGCATTGCCTAATGCAACAAGCCAGTGGAGCGAGATTGACCAGTAATGGTAGGGACTCTTAAAAAATATATATGTATAAATAATATATATTATATATATACCTGCCGTCTGTGACCAGGATTATAGCTGCACCTTTTTCTATCTCATTTTCATATATATATCCTCCAAAGAAAATTTTTTCGGCCATTTTGAGAGCCCTAAAAATTTTTTATCAACTTTTAATATCAGCCTAAATGATCTAAATCGTAGAAGTTTGATAATTATTACGCTGCAGTATTAGTATATCCTGAATAGGTTCCATCTGATTTTGTATAATTGATTCGCTCGTCGACAAGTTTCTCGAACTCATCAACGCTTCTTGATTCGAGAGTGATATCATTCTGTAATGTGTAATATAGCTTGTTTTTTCTCTGTGTATGGAGGCTGATTCTCGTATTTATTTCAAAAAAAATCAAGTAATCACTTGTGCACTATAAGCAAACTGAATTACTCCAACTCGACTGTATCTGTTTCTATCACCTTTGCTACTTGGCTCGAAAGCGATATTATTGGCCAATTTTTTCACAAAATTTCTAACATTCTGAAAACTTCTTTTCTGTGGATTTTTACAGTAATTTATTGCACGGGACTTATTTGCATTACTTTAATACATTACTTTAATACATTACTGCATTTGCATTACTTTATTAATAGTGAAATATTAAGTGGGTCATCTTGGATTCCACTGTGATTCTACGAGCGATTATTCTTCCCTAATAGTCAAAAGAACCAGTCAAACCAGGAATATTTTAATAAATATTATCAATATTTACAAACTGTTGATATCGATTTATTGTCCTTACTTTTGGGAATTTATCTATACTCTACCAGTTTAAGTTGACAATTCCAGCACCAGTTTGGTTTTTACTGATCAAACATTCTCTTAACAAAATACCTGATTGTAGTCATTCTCACTGATAGACTGCGATCTGTCCAGTATAATCAATATATTCATACAGTCAATTTCTGAAATCAATGCATCATAATTCTCTGACTTAATTTTTATCGAATATATTTATGAATAAGTCTCAGTGTAAAAAGTGTTTGATTTGGTTCCATGGATTTCGTTATCTCATTTATTCTTACCATGTTTTCAAAGTGTTTCGACATTTGTTTTTTTTCAGTACAATAAGTGAAAAATGCTAATAAAAAATATTTTACTTTTTGATGGCGGTATTATGGTTATTAGCGATGATACTGTAATGTTGGTATCGATGATTGATGTTGCATTGTAGACCGATTCTGTTATTTCATCTGCAGTTTTATTTGTAATTTTGTTACTTAAAAGTTTTACAATCATCGATTCTTCGTCTAATTTCGTATGGCTTTTGCTTGTAATTGACTTATTAGTCGTTGATGGCTTCTTCGATTTTGACAACATTGTTGTGATTTGCCGCGCAGGAGTGGTGAATTGACCTAATGGTGGAACTATTTCGATATCTGAATAAAATCTAAATAGCTGAATTAACTTTTTAGTGAATGAAAAATTTTGCGGAACAAAATTTTGTAAAATATTTCTTGGTTAAAGGCTCATTTTCGTAATCAATTCTAATAGTGCGAAACTTAAGCAGAAAATTATCATCATCAAGAAAATCATTTTTTAACTAGATAATTCAGCTGGAATTTATGAGAACTTATGAGTTTGTGAAATTTCGGTTCTTTTAAAAATAATGTGAAAAATTCAGCTAACAGGAGCATGCTTGTTGCATTGCGAACTTATTTCCTTCGTTTGGAAGATGCGAATAGTCAGTTACTCGCTCTTTCGATAGCCATTTCTGGTTGAAAATTAAATGCGAGAAAGCATGCGCAGTTGGTCCCTTCGTTGGTGTTATTGCCGACAAGTAAAATCCGGAACGTTGCAACCTAGTTATTGATAGTCTTGCTGAATTCAGTGTTGTATCATCATCGGCTGGGCTGAATTTACGTTTTAAATATGCGAAAATTTATTTATCTTTGAACAAATTCAAATCCCTTACACATGATCAGCTATGATAATGATAAAAGCTTCGGTGTAAGCGCGTAAGCCAATATTTTTTTCGGCGACATATGTTAGAGCTGATGATAATCTGCCATAGTGTCCCATCGTAGCACGCGAGGTATCATTAATTAACTAAATAACAAGTAACTTTAACGATTATTTAGTGGAACATAGAAAGAATTTGAAGGAGAAAGAATTTTTGACAATATTTTTGAGAAATTCAATTCCATTATTTTCATATTGCTACTAAATTCTTCCATCATAAGAAATTCGTCTAAAAAGTACCACTACTTCTGGTTTAGCTAATTGGCCGTTTTAGCTACTAGGAGGACTCCAAAGAGCCACTTAATTTAAATGAATTTCATCATGAGATAATTTATATGAATTTAAAAAAGCTTTACCTATACCTTCTCAAGATTGTCGAAATATTTCTGCAATGAATTAGTGAAGGAATAAGCCTTTAATACATTCAGCGAATCATAACCAATAAGCATTATCTGATTATTTGTAGGGTTTGTCAGCAGATTTGTTCCAAATCGTTTTAGAAATGATTCCAGCTAAAATTTATTGAATTCGTCACTTCACTTAATGCTTCATCGCACGTGAGATAATCATATGCTTTATCGAATATCCTAGATTTGACAAAAGTATCGTGCTTGCCGAGATTTTTTAAAGAAATGGTAATCGTACTGTTTCATTACTGCAATTCAACTTATTGGTATTTCAAGGAGATATAGGCAATCATATGTAAACACAGTTCTTTTTGTAAGTACTCAATGATTTTAAATAAATTTCCAATGTTCTTTTAAGTTTCAAGGTCAAACAGCTTATTTTCCAAAAGAGATTGACACCATTCTAATATTATGACAACTATAGTAATTATAACTAACTTCTGTGAATTTATATGCTTGAATCGGATTTGGGATCATGTCGATGACTAAAATGAAATCACGAGTAATTAAATTTGGAGCACATTGATCAGGAAAATCTAAAGATATTTATTATTTTATTATGTTTATTTTTATTTTAGAATCTGACCTATTTGAGTCTATTTGAGTTTACTTTTATTTAATGGCTCTTTTTATTGTACTAGAAACCTCGAATTCATTTAATAATCATTAATGTTTGCCATTTACCACTGCTTTTTGATTTATTATGAAAGCTTACCTGGTGGCGTTGGTACTGGTTTTACAGTTGAGGTAGCTAATGGAACTGAGTCGCAAATATTCGCAAAAATTCGATTCGATTCTTTTGAAATATTATCATTAAGAAACAAAAAGAAAAAAAATATCATAATTTATAATTATAATTTATAATTTTTTCACGGCAAACCGCATGGAACCAAAAATCTTACCTTTTTCACCCATGCCAACTACATTGGTTATAACAAATTTACCAGAGTCGGAGCTTATCTTTTGCTCCTCGCTGGTTCTCTGATCTGAAGTGAAAGAACGCATTTTTCTCAATAGTTTATCGGCCATTTGATATGAAACGTTACTCACATCGTTATCACTTTCATGGATTATCTTTGGCCTAGTATTGTTGATAATATTAACTATGTTCTGCATGTCTTTAACTTCACTGGAAAAATCCTTAAATGGTGAGTAAATATTTTGGTCGATGGAAGTGGTTAATTTTTCCTGTCGCCTTTGGATGGAATCGATTGATATTTTATCTTTGGTTAACTTCTCATAAAGTTCGTTTGCATTAATTTTCTTATAAGCAGGATCCATGAATACAACTATAGCATTCAAATAGGTTTTATCGCTGAAATAGACCATAATTATTGTTTGTTTTAAAAATAATGAATCTTTTATCTAAGATAAAATAATCAAATTCAACAAATTTTTTAATATGAAAAATCTACGCCTACTCATTCTTATTAGAGCGATACTACTATGTCGTTTGCGTTAATATTTCTCAACCTGAAATCTACGAGTTCCCTGAGGTTTTCTGAATTTGAGTTGAAAGAATTTGCAAATCACTGGCTGAAATCAGGATGAATGTTGAGAACAAATTCAGGTGCCAATAGTGCCTATCGTCAAAAGAAATATTTGACACATATTTATTTCCATATCACATCACTTCACCACTGGGGATCTTTATACAACATGGGTGAATGCAAAAGTATAATTCATAGGTCTATATGTTATTAGCAAGGTAAAGAAACTAATCACGAAAAAATAAAAAGCCTTCACTAGTAGGAAACATCTGAATAAAAAATGCGATTAAATTTATTGTGCTCAAAAAGGGGACGAATCGGGGGCTTTAGAGCAAGTACGATAATTTTAAAATGAATGCGCGGCATTTATGCTTTTTAATGGAAAAAAAATTCACGAAATAAGTGCTAATTTTCGTCACATAAGGTTCAGTCGGTGAATCACGACAATAACGTAAAATTGTATATATATATATATATATATATATATATTGCATAGCAAGGCGATTAATATGAACAACAACGGTTCGGTCGTAACCATGTCTTTCAACATTTTCGGTTGGATCCTTTGGTAAGAGCCCTCTAAAAGCTTATCTATCTTGCCTCAAGCATGACAGTTTCGCATACTAGAATCAAGCTAGCTCAGACATCGCCTGGATTAACAAGGTTCGCGTCAGATGTCAAAGAACGAAGATGATTACTGAGCTAGTGGAACAACCCATACATGGACGAGGTATAATCAGAAAGTGATAGAATGTTGCTATAATAGTAGGCCAAATCAAAGAAATTATTTGAAAGCGATTCTCATTCGAAGGAACTGTGGATAGAAAGAAGATCTGCGCCTATATCAACTGAGAAGTAGTTAATGGCTTAGTGGTTCAACATTAGAAAGAAGAATAAAACTCCAGAATGTTTTCAAAAAAAAAGATGAAAGAAGAAATGTGGACGCAACACAAGCTGGAAAGCTAGAAATTGGCTTCCAATATCCGTTGCAAACTAGTAGTTGCTGAGGCAAAAGAGTATGAATAAAGTGGTTGAAATTGACCACTCAGATTACCGAGGCTCAATGAAGTACCACTAGTTAACATACTTGAACAATAAATTCCTTGTAATAGTTCCACGAGCACTATGATGGAAATTAATGAATTGGTGTAAGCCACAGCCATTGTAATTCTCGGAATGATCAGCAATCCGATGAAGCCATAGTTATAAAAATGATTCCAACCGAGACGGCTATATAAGGCCAATGATTTCAGTTGACGAAATAATGAAATCTTTCAGTTCCGATCTTTTTTTTTGTTTACGATATTTTTATCTTGTTTTATATGGTAGTGGAGTATATATTGTCGCGATTTTATTGTTATTTCGATAAAAAGATTTAATTACGCATGTTTTGTGCTTACATAACGAATACAAAAATTTTAAAAGTGCGTCGATACTTTTTTATCGGAAAAGAAACTCGCGAAAAAAATGCTGCATTGTTTCGTTAAATTTACACTTATATCAGTTTAGATATTTAAATAAAAGAACATTTTTTCGTACCTTATAACTGAAAAAACTGAATGAAAAAGTAATCTTGCCTTTTTTCAACATCAAGAAATAAATAAGCTGGGATTCCGTTTGACTTAAATAATTCTTTCATCTATAAATGCTTCTTAATTATTCCGTTTCATACATATCCCCTACATACATACATTTTAGCATTTCCCAAAAGATGCTGCATTTTTTAATCTCATCTTTTTTTAAAATTTTTTTTTTCTATCTGTTGATTTTTCATTTATTAATAAAATTAAAGATAGAAAATTCAAGTATACTTCACCGACCTTTGCTTCTGGATCCGGTTCATTAAGTGGAGATGTGGCTGAGACTATGAAGGCATTTTGGGGTATTTGTTCCTCGTAAAATGGACAAGAATTTAGTTGCGCTAAAAGATCTCAGAAAAGATTTTTTCATCGAAAAGCGAGATTTAAATTTCAAAAATTCTCTACAAACCATCATTCAAGGATACAGTTATAGGTAAAAAGTCGAAATTATCTCAGGTAAAAAATTTTTAAATTTAAATTTATAAATTTTTTACCTGGCTTTGTTGTATATAGAATAATAAATAATATAGTTAGTATAAAGAATAATATAGCTAATACTGAAGCTACATACAGTGGCCACGAATTATATCTTCTCACTTCCATCCAAAAATTCTAAAGTTAAATTTTAAAAAAAGTTATTAGGCAATTATTTTCATACTGTTCGTGGAACTATTTTTTCGATTTTTAGATATGTGCTTTGAACGATTGAAAAATGACTTGAAAACTTCAAAAAAATATTAACGAGAAAAATATTTAGTGGAGCTAAAATTTGATATAACTTTTCTCATTATGTATTGCTGGGCCATTTTACCTGTGCTATAGAGCCATGCAAATTATATCGTCCTAAGCCTAAAAATTTGTGAATTGATACTCAAGAAGTCAAAGTATCAAATAATAGATTGATTAAGAAAAGTAATATTTTTAGATATTTAACAAGCAGAAGTCGTAACATTAAACAAGCAATGAATTTGGCTAATAACTGTTATTTATTTAGGCACAAATATTCCTGTATCTTACGACTTGAAAATTGATAATTTCGGTGAAAAGAATCTTATCAGTGACATATGTTTATTTTATTGCTAATAATACAAGAGGAAAGTCCATTGATACAAAATGTAAGGAGAAGAATAATTCTGGATATTTTCTGAGAAGAAATTAGTTAAATAAAAAATTAGCAAAACTTAATGAATAAATTGATTATGCACGCTCTCCAAATGAAATCTGCTTTTTCATGACATGTTCACCACTCTTCTATTAAAAATTTAAGCAAAATTCAGCCCTTTATGTTGCATATGTGTTTATTTTCTGATTAGATGCAATTGCGTCAAGGATAAGAGTTTAATTTGGAAAATTGAAGTCCTCCTGCTGTCAAACAGTGATTCGAAAACTGCTTAACAGGAAGTTTTAACAGGATTCGAACTAATAAATAAAAAAATCAATTAATGGGACAAACGCTGTCAAAAGCGATGCAATAATAATAATGAAAATCAGCTAAATAAAGGAGGTCAAAATGGTCAATGAAGACAGTTAATGGTTATTGAAATAGCTATACTATTTTCAACCTTTCACAATTCAAAAAGGAATAGAAAGACTGGCGAGCAAAAATAAGACAAAAAGGAAGGTGGGTCGACCATAACGTAGCTTTTAAATTTCTCGTGTGGCGATACTTTCGATCATTGTATCATTAACCCATATGCGAATGTTCAGCTAATTCGATGAAATGTTCAAAAGGAGATTTTCTGGCGATGCATCACTCCAAGTTCTCCTGTTAATATTCTATTTCACCTTAATATTCTATGCATTACATTTTAAATAGTTTTTAAAATTGATTACGAAAGCCTAGAAACATGGAATTTTATAAAATTATATTGAATACGAATTATAAGACTGCCGTTCTATATTTTTGTTTTTTTAATTTTCTCATTTTTTTATTTTCCTAAATCAAACCATGTTTCTTTTGATTGATGAATTTGTTATATACAAATATACACATTTACGGTTGGATGCAAGCGACTATTGATCATTCATAGGCTATAATGTAAATATTTCTTTCGAGAATTAAAAATGCTCAACTTCGTTTTGCGCTTTTTAATTCAGGTTATAGGTTTTTAAGCAATTAAAATTACAATAACTATAAAACACGGAAGGATTGAAAACTGCTTAATGTACTAATGTAGTGCCCATAAATGAAAAAGCATGTTAAATATTTACGAAACATAAAAACAAAAGCATTGCAATTCTAATCCCATGGCAATCCTTGGTTCTTATCTATTAGCGATCAAAAATTTCCAAATAATTGCTTTGCTTACGTTTCGTATTATTATTCGCCTCCTTTCTTTGAAGCTCATCATTTCTGCTTTGGCTGTTTCGGGTATTTATTGGGATAATGATCACTTTCCAACGAGTTACTTCAGGACAGAAGAATAGTTCTGTTACTGTCGACAATAAAACTTCTATAGATAATTGTTTACATATTCTACTGGCATTATGAATTTGACTACATTATTTCAAGATGAACCATTATTAAAAAGTTGAAGCTAATGCAGCTAATTAGATTATCATAAGCTGGCAAAATATGGTAAAGATTTTAAGCAATAAAGAGCCAAAAATAAAGCACTGCGCAAGACACTTTCGATATTGACAATACCGGTCGCGAAAATTGTTGAGAAAGAAATGCAAATTAAAAGTTTAAATACTTGAATATCTCGAAATAACGATAATCAAATGCACTGATAATCCGCTGGAAAAACAAGCTTAAATTACTGTTTGCTTTATTATTAAAGTAATAAGCAATGTAACAAATCAAAACTTGTAATATTTATTCAAACTTAAAATATAATAAAATCGCTTTAAAAACTTCTACCTCCTTCGGTATGTGATATCTATTCTAAATCGCTGTAAAATCAGTACAATATAAGTGTTAAAAATAAATTTCTCTTAAGTAATTCTTCGGAAAATATCGCAGTAATTAGTATATCAGCCAAACCAAAGATTGGTAAGCGATATTGAAAAAATAAGAGAAGAAAAAAGAAAGTTATGGCTAAGCCTTTGAGAACAGTAAAACCTTTGAAAACATTTTTAACTTAAAGCATTCAAATTTTGGCTATGAAATATTTTCCAAACAAAGTTATTTGTAATTCTTCCTATATTATGCACTAATTTCGTCCACCAACAAGCTTAGGCAAACATGGCGTTAATTTTTCTCGCTTTCGAAATCTCATGGCTCCATTGAATACTGTTCTTTTTTCCTGAATTTTGTGGTAGAGAAAATAATTAGAATGGGAAAGTTCAAAATTGCAACATTTTATCGAAATCTCTTATCGAAATCTACTCAACAAAGTTATTTGAAAATTAATTCTACCATAGATAATATTTGTCAAATTAATAAATAAAAAATTTATTAAGGTATTTATTCAAATTAGAAAAATTTATTAAGCTAGATATTTTTTTACTTGCCAATTATTATTTGCTTGTTCTTTTACCTGGAAAATTAGCTTTCTAAACTATAAAAATATATATATATATATATATACATACTTCTTTAATAAACGGTAGCAATGGCTTCGATTTCAATCTTGGACAACTAATTTGCTTGTAATTTTTCAGAAATTTCCCTCGTGCCTACAAAAAAATTTACAGAAACAAATCATTCCGCTTTAGAATTTATACCGTAGCAATTTCGGAAAATAGTATGGTCGTGCTACATCGATTCAAGATATCACACGTCTAATGTCCCTTGACCGAAACCTGATATTTCGTCCAACAATGGAGATCTATTTCTTTCCCGAATTATAGTTGTTAAAAGAACAAAAAGAATTCTTCTAGTTTTATAAATATATATATTACCTTGAATAGTATAAAAAAAAGATTCCATGATGAGTATTTTTGAGCTTGTGAACTATTCCATTGTACACAATTGTTAAGTTCTTTCACTAGCTTTAGGCGATATTTTTTTATCAGCCTGGAAGAGTTCAGCAAATTATTTATATTTTGCTAAAAAACTAATCATTATGTTTATTATGGCCAATATCTAGTCAAGGACTTTCAAAGTTACTAAGGAATATAGAAAACATCTATTCGTAAGCAGATAAACCCACATTGACAATAAAAATTTTTCATTTTTTCTGGCCAAAATTTCAGCTGTTTCTCCCAACAAATTCTTAGCCCGAAATGCTTCGATACATGATTTCCGAAATAGTGTATCAGAAATAAAGTTCACAAGCGAAGAATTTGAATACAAAACGGCATACATCAAAGCTGTATTCCCCATCTTATCAGCAATTAACAAATTCGCATTTAGCTGCAATAAATTTGTAAGAGCAAATGAAAAAGAAAGTCGAGCCGAATAACAAAAAGGAATTTTCACTTTTAAAATTCAAACATTTAATTTTTAATTTCTTTAAGTGTTGACCTATTGTAATAGCGATTTGCTAGATAAGTAAGTGATTAGTGCTCATTATTTCTAGTTAAGCTGGCTGGAAATTATGGCTAGAAATTTTTTCAAGAATTTAGGGAAAATTAGATTCGCTTTAAAAAGTGACCAGAACAGCCCAAGTCTTGTCTCTCAGCATAATAATTTCAGCCATATCACACATTGTTACTTTTCATCCAGTAGTGATTTATTAGAAATTTTTGCCAAGGATGAAGATTGAATCGGCTTCTATACCAAAAAATGATAGTATTTAGATGATGTATTTATTTCTATCCCTAATAAATTGCCTGTTAAGTTTCGTTTCAATTAAGTTTCGATCCTTCAAATTTTGCCTTCACTAGCTTTAGAGGATATTTTTTTTACTAACTTGGAAGAAATTTTCCTTCATTTTAGATTTACTTGAGAAAATTAACCGATATTAGGTGGCGTGCAATTCGTTCATTTCTCATCAAACAGGCGACCATTAATGGTGTTCGATTCTGCCGTGTTTCTGGTTCAGATGGGTCACATCCATAACGAACTAACAAATTGATATGTCGAATCTTCAATTAAATGTTTGTTTTTTGTTATATTCTCAAATCTTCTGAGAAAATTACTATAGGAATTATTTCCACCACAAACAATTAAAACTTTTAAATAATTTAATCAAGATAGCGAAAGCATTCTTCGTAGTCATATACTTCAGACGTGGATTTTAAAGAGCTGAAATTTTGTCTTCCCTTAATTTCGAATGATTTGATGATTCAAATTAGGATAAATTTAATAATTAATTTATCAATAATTAATTTTCTTTCTTTTCTAAACCAGTTAAACCAGTCAAAGACTCAAAAGCCTATTAGCTTCTGGATTTTTGGAGCTAATTAAAATTGGTCAAGAACTCGATTAAAACAGATCTTGAGAATGCAGATTTTTTTAAAAACCACGAACTTGATTAGCTAAATCTGGTTCATATTTGACAACTGACATGATGAGAGTCTCACCGCGGTTATTTCTTTCATCTGCTTGAAAGGAACTAAAATTTTTACTGATCTTCGATGGTAAATGTTGTTCAGTTTGCTGAAGAAAATAATATTTAAAATGATTGTTCATAGTGAAGTAATAATAATATAAATTTTATCATTTTGTCCAAAGAATGATTAACAAGAATTACATGACAAAAAAAAAGAGATTTGACAAGAGATTTGCAAGATTTTATTTCACAGAATTTATCGATATATTAACATAATATTGTGTAGATTATAAATCTCGATAGAATTCAATTCATTTATTATCATTAAGGGAACAATTAACGAAAAAACTGAACTACGTTTCAGTAAATAGGATGAGATAATTTCGGTTACATAGATTTCGAGAAGTCGGTTTTTTTACGAAATGGACGAAATGGAAATTTATTGGAAATTTAAAATGGAAAAAACTATTTCTGTGGATTTTGAATCAACATCACGTTAAATATATCATTTTGACAAATTCATTCCAGTTTTACCTCCAGCGTAATTGTAAATAATGTCCAGTTAATTGAATATTATTCTATTGAAAGATTAAGGTTAGATTGATAAGGAACGAGATGGCCAATAAACCAATTATTATATTATGTTAATTAATCAATAATTATTAATTGTAAAGGGCATGAATTTTTGTGCTATAGTTTAAGTATAAACAAATTACCTCATCAAAAATTCTCCTCATGCGTAGTTGATCAATTCGAGCATATAACCAACGTTCAATCTGCATAACTGTCGAACAATTATTGTTCATATGATCATGCGAAAGGAATGATTTTCAATGATATGCCACTGATATGTCATTAAATTAAAAAATGAATCAGTTAAAGACGCTATGAAGACTAATATCCAGTTAACTCATTTAATAAAGAAATAAGGAATTCGTCAAGAAATAAATTAACTTTTGAAAAAAATAAATTTTACCAATCCGGAAAAAGTAGAATACAATAAATTTTCTAGGAAAAAATTTGAAATTTTGAAAAAACTTCAAATGTGGTTTTCATTTTATGCAAACCAGTGGGAAATAATACCTTTTACTCGTGAAAAAAACTGCTTAGAAGAAATAAAAATAAAGTACATAAATAAAGTGGCGAGTGGTGTGATAACTGAAAAGAAAACGAAAAAAAGAAATTAAATTTCCAGCAAGTGCTGCTTAAACTTTTTCCTCTTAAATTGAAAGTCGGATATCACCTGCCAAAGGAATTTATATAATTTATAGTCGTCAGGTATTTTCTCATTCGAATTGTTATTCTTAAAATATATTAAAATATATTTTTTGAAAATACATTGAAATCTGATGTTTTGTCGGCATATTACAAGTTAAATAATTCATATTTTAACTAATTAATTTAAGTTATCAAAATTAATTGGAATTAGAAAGGCAAAATTTATTGAATAATCCGTAATTCTCCTTTTTAAGCAAAGAAATAAAAATAAAAAATAAAATATAAAAAAAAAATTAAGTTATTTATATATAATTTTATTCACACATATATATTGTACACATATATGTATATATATGTATATATATATATGTATACATATATATATATATATATATATAAACGAGAAAAACAAAATGATAAAAAATAAATTTTTTGAAATTAAAAATAAATTTTTTAAAAAAAGCTTCATTTTTAATTTTTGCTTCATTTTTTTTTCATATTTTCTATTTTTTTTCAAATTTCCAAGGTGTATTTTATCCCCAAGCGACTTAACTGTAGAAGAATTTATTCTTAATACGCATATTATCTCCAGCCCGCTGGTACATGCAATAAATATACAATACGAGCATAATGGTATCAAAAATACGGCCCTTGATAGATCCAGCTCGTATGCGATATGAAATATGCGATAAATATGCAATCCCGGAGTAGTCAAACGACTTCAAGGACTGAGAATATGATCTATTCGCAAGCCGAATTTTCAAGACCTATCAAAAGAAATGCGCATTGAGGTAATAGCTGTTGCACCGTGGAATCCCAGAACGCTTATGACGATCACGTCCACACTCTTTCTAAACATCGTGTGGATATTGCCTGCTCGTCGCCTTCCTCATTTTAGTTATCCTGTAATTAAATCAGACCCAAATCATTGTACTGTTTCGGATAACGCGAGACGAAATGGCGTAGCGATTGTCATATCTGGAAAAAAATTGGTCCACTCTGATTGAATGGAAGCCAGTAAACGATTGTGTGGCCTATGCTGCAAAGGAAAATTCTGCAATATTTCGGTCACCATGTACATGCAAATCACGATAAAGATAAGGATTTCTGTGCGGAATTTCGACACTCTTCTACCGAAAAGTGATAAGGGGGAGACTGGAATGTGCGCATAGATCATGATGCCACCGTAAACTCTGTAACTGGCAAATATGGCATAAGTATCTGGTGCACCAATAGAATAATCTTTATTATGCTGAAGAGCATGAACTTTTCGTTACTAATACATATTTCCCGCATCGAAGAGGACATTTGGTCACTGGAACCTCCTGATTGATTATATCTTAGTCAGTCGTCGTTGGAAAAGTTTTATA